AAAAGGAAAAAGACAAAAAAAAAACACAACAATTAATACAGTGGGAAACACACACAAAAAAAGGAATAGATGTCCTGAATGTAAAAGTTAAGTGTGAAAATCCATAAATTTGTAAAACTGGGCTTTCGTTGAAGCAAAATCTAATATTTATACAGATTGGAAGTAAGCATGAGAAACGGAAATAGATCTCTTATGTCAGAATTATTGGTGGAAAAAGCTTATAAACATTCAAAATATAGCAAATATCAAACAATACAAACATTAAAAATAATGTTCTCTGTATATAGAAAGATATTAATGAATTTTTTTTTGAGACAGGATCTCACTATGTCTTTCTGCTTTGCTTCCCTAGTGCGGGCTTACAGGTGTGCCCCACCACACGCAGCTAGAAATTTTACGTGCTAATAAGGATCACACACACACAAATATCTATATATGTCATGACAGCTTTTTTGTTAAAGATTGAATTAAGGTGGGCCAGGTATGGGAGCACACATCTGTAATCCCACCACTGCAGAAGTTGAGGCAGGAAGATCACTGCAAGTTTGCAGCCAGCCTGGGCTACATATAGCCGGAGACATAGCTCAGCAGCACAGCACTTGCCTGGCAAACAGGAGGTCATGAGTTCAATCCCTGGTACCAAAAAATAGTAATAATTTTTTTTTTTTTTGGTAGTGAGTATTGGACTCATGGCCTTGCCTTGCCAGGCGTGCACTTACACTGCTGAGCTAAATCCCCAGCAAAAAAAGATTAAGTATGTAAGAAATTGTATGGGAATGAACACCTTGTTATTAACATTAACGCTGAGTGGTAGGGTTATGGTAAACTTTACATTTGTTTATTTATTTTTTCAAATTCATTTTTTTGGAGACAGGGTCTCTTATGTAGTTCAGGCTGGCCTTGAGCTCACTTTGTAGCCCAGGCTGGTCTCAAACTTGCAATGATTCTTCTGCCTCAGTCTCCTGAGTGCTGGGATTACAGGTGTGAGTTACCATGCCTGTTGAGACTCCTCTGTAAAATGGCCATTTTATTTTTTGGTACCGGGGATCAAACTCAGAACCTAGAGCTTTTGAGACAGGCACTTATGCCACTGAGCTAAATCCCCAGCCTCAAATTCATTTTATTTCAAAGAGAAAAAAAAAGAAACAAAAAATAAGACAAAATTTCAAAACACATCAATTAGGGGATTTATTTGGTTTTTGGAGACAAGGTCTCATTATGTAGCTCAGGTTGGACTTGAACTCTCTGGGATCCTCCTGCCTCAGCCTCCTGTGTGTTGTGATTACAGGCATGAGCTACCATGCCTGGCAATATTTGACATTCTTATTTCTTTTCTTCTTTTTTTTTTTTTTTGTCTTTTCCCTTTTTATCGGTACCAGGGATCAAACCCATGACTGCCTGCTTCCAAGGCAGGTACTTATGCTGCTGAGCTAAATCCCCAGCCCCTGACATTCTTATTTCAATGATGAGACATTCCTTTTTAAAAATTTTTATGTTTTGTGGTAATGAGAATGGAACCCAGATCTCCAAGAATAGTAAGCAAGCACCCTACTACTGAGCCATGACCCTAGTACTGTACAGTCTTAAAAACATCACTTTCCATTAAAAAAAGGTCCTAATGCATCAGGCATTAGACAAATAGGTCAGTCATTTTTGACCTGTTCCCAAATGTCTCATGAAGCAGGAATGATGCATATCTTGCCCAGCAACTGCGGTCTATTGAATTATTTTTTCCAACTATCTTACCCGTAGTTAGATTATATGCCCCGCCCCCTTGCCTTGAGATTTTTCAGTCTCTCATTGGGCAGTAAATACTCCCTCCTCCCCACCTGACTTTGGGCATGGCCATGTGACTTGCCTTGGCCGGTGGAATGAGAGCCAGCCGCAATGGAAAGCGAAGTTCCTCCAAGGCTGTGGCCATTTGGGTGGTGTGGCTTGACCTCTCACCCTTGAAACACGTGTCATGAGGAGGGCACAGTACTGGACCGTGGCTCTTGTAACCAGAAACAAGAAACACCTAGGGCAGACCCAAATCCAGTTCAGTCCAGAGCTGAGTGATCAGCCGCCCTGGTGGAGCCCTAGCTGACCCACTGACCTGTGAGTGAGAGAAAGATGTTTGCTGTTGTCAGTGACTGAGTTCTGGAGCTATTTTGACATGGCAGTGCCACAGCAAAACCTGACTGTTACTCCAGACCTTGCATTCACTCCCCCCCCCCCATGTTCTCTTCTTTTTTAGGGTATTCTTTTTTTTTTTTTTTTTGTATTTTTTACCGGTACCAGGGATCTAACTCAGGACTACACGCTTGCCAGGCAGGCACTTATGCCGCTGAGCTAAATCCCCAGCCCCTTCTCTTCTTTTTAATCTTATGGAGATAATGGTGGCACTGGGAGAAGACTGAGGGATTTTCCAAAATTGAGGTTTTCAGGTGTTTCACAGAGTTTTAGAGCACGGTGTGATGGTGGTGTGTATCTGTAATCCTAGTACTTTGGGAGATTGAGGCAGGAGACTCACAAGTTTGAACCTTCTGGACAACTTAGTGACTTCACTTCATTAAATGAGATATTATGAGACAGGGCCTCACTATGTAGTCCAGGCTGGCCTTGAACTCACTGTGTAGCCCAGGATGGCCTCAAACTTGAGTGGCAATCTCCCTGATTCAGCCTCCCAAGTGCTGGGAGGGCAGGATGTGCCACAAGACCCACCAATTATGAAGGATAGATGAGATTACAGAAGGCTTTTGTGACTTGCTTTTTTTTTTTTTTTTTTTTTTTTTTTTTTTTTTGGTACCAGAAATCAAACTCAAGACCTGGGGCTTTCCAGGTATGCACTGTGCCTCTGAGCTGTATTTGTGACCTCTGACTTGCTTGTTTCAGTTAGCACAATATTTGCCAGCTCATCTATGTCTTTTTTTTTTTTTTTCACTCGTCTTTCTTTTTCTTTTTCTTTTTTTGTCTTTTTCATTTTTATCGGTACTGGGAATCGAACTCACGACAGCCTGCTTGCAAGGCAGGCGCTCACACCGCTGAGCTAAATCCCTAGCCCCTCACTCATGTCTTAACATGTATAAGAACTTTATTTCTTTCTTTTTACTGGGTGAGATGCAGTCCTGCTAGACACTTTAATTCCACTCATCAGTGATGGGGCAGTGGGTTCTAGCCACCGTTGGCTATTGTGAACAGAGCTGCTGTGAACATTTTGTGTGCAAGTTTTTGTTCGGACATCTGTTTCCCATTCTTTTGGGTCCCTGCCTGGAGTGGAATTGCTGAGGGATGTGATAATTCTGTCTGACTTGCTGGGAGGCTGCCAGACTGTTTCCCACAGCTGCTACATGACGGGTTCTCACCAGCAGTGTGAGAGGGATCCAATGTCTTTGTATGCTTGCCAACACTTGTTATTGTCCATCTTTACATTGCAGCCATCCTGATGGCACAAAGGTGCACAAAGGTGTCAGAATGGTTTGCTTTTGCATTTCCAAAGTGGGTGACGACATAAAGCATTTTTTCATTTGTTTTTGGCTCTATCTTCTTTAGACACATGTTTATTCAAGTCTTTAATTTTTTTTATTGTTGTTGTTTTCTAAGATAGGGTCTCACTAGTCCAGGCTGGCCTTGAGCTTGTGGTGATCCTCCTGCCTCAGCCTCCTGAGTGGTAGGACATAGGCATGCACCACCATGCTCTGCTAGTGATCAAAATATATGGTGAATGTTTAAATTTTTAAAAAATTATTACAGTGAAAGACACATTGCTATGCCCTTAATCTCCCTCAAAATAATCTCTGTTGGGGCTGGGGATTTAGCTCAGCGGCATAAGCGCCTGCCTTGCAAGCAGGCAGTCGTGAGTTCGATCCCCAGTACTAATAAAAAGGAAAAAGACAAAAAAAAAAAAAAAACTCTATTGCTGGGCATGGGGTCCACATCTGTAATCTGAGCACTCAAGAGGCTGAGGCAGGAGGATCACGGCAAATTCAAGGCAGCCTGCACAACAAAGGGAGCCCCTATCTCACAAAACCAGAAATAATAACAATGGTCTCTAGGACTCGGTATTGATCTATTTAAAAACTCTTAGTTATGGGCGTGTATGTGTGTAAGATATGTACTACATATTTTTTGTAGTGCTAAGGATTGAACTCAGCACCTCTCACATGATAAGCAAGTAGCAAGCCCTCTGCCTCCAGGGCAGCTCTCCAAGTTTGGGGTTGGGGGGTAGGGGATGCTGATGAGAGGATGGAGAAGTAAAGATGAGACAACATACAGCAAGTGGAGGTCAGGTGGAGCTTCTCTCTGGCTGAGAGGAAAAGTGTTCTAGCCGCTGGAGCAGCTTGTTTACCTGCTCACCTCAGCCTTGTGTTAGCCCCCAGCCTGTGCTCAATCTCCAGCTTCACTTGCTCCCCACACTCTACCATTGTACACCCTCAGTCCTATTTTTTTATCTTTTTCTTTTTGTTTGCTCTGTGATCCAGACCTGGAACTCACTATATAGCCTAGGCTAGCCTTGAAGTTGCAGCAGTCCTCCTGCATCAGCCTCCCATGTGTCCTTTTTTTTTTTTTTGTACCAAGGATCAAACTCATGACCTCATGCTTGCCAAGCAGGTGCTTGTGCCGCTAAGCTATATCCCTAGCCCTTAAAGTTTATTTTTATTACTATTTTTTTTCAGTTTTGAAAGAGTCTGGCTATGCTGCCCAGGTTGTTCTCAAAGTCTTCGGCTCAAGGGATCCTCCTCCCTCAGCCTCCTGAGTGCTGGGACTACAGGTATGCACCACTGCACCCCGCTTAGGAATCTCTATTTGTAATCAGCACTACAGATGATTTCTTATGCATATTAATATTTGCAAATATTGAATGAAGAGCTTTTTTCAGAAGGAATTTTCATTGTAAAAGAGCAACGATTCCCACTGCAGTCCCGTTGTATCTTCCTTCACAGCAAAGCGGGGTACGCCACAGCCATGCCTTCTCTAGGACGTCCTCGGGTACACCCAGCAAGAGAACCTGAGCTTCCTCCCTAGTCCAAGGCAGACAATCCCTCTCGCCCTAGGAAGGCCCCACCCCTTGGTAGAGGAGGAGGCTTCAACTTCCGGGTTCCTTCCTGCATCCTGTTGTCCAGATCTGGGTCCCGGAAGGACACCACGTCCACTTCCTGCCAACGCGGGGTGCTTGGGGTTGCCCGGTGCCTAGACCCTGCTCAGTAAGGAGCACGCGGCACCCACCAGCTTCACCCAGTTAGAAGAGCAAGAGCCATGGGTTCCCAGAAGGCTTTTTTTTTTTAAGTCATCACACATCTTCAGGGGAAAAAAATCCCCTACAGTTTCTGGAAGCAGTAAGTGTAATGTGTGTCTAAAAAAGACACGTCCTCCCACATGTGTGGCGGTGGACTTATCTCTCCAGATAGTATTTCTTCCTGCGCTTCCTGGCTCTTTGGGACATCATAAATCCATAGCGTCTCTCAGTATCTGCTTGGGTTGATTTCCCAAGGAGTGATAGCAGCTTTTATTACATCCTTTTGATTTAGAGCTTTCTCTGATGAAGCTGATAGTGGAGGAGGCTGGAGCCTGGTAATTCCTCCTGCTTTACAACGGGAACATGTGTGGGAGCTGTCTTCAGCCTATCCAAGGGGCCCAGAGAGAGAGAGGGCCTGCTCCAGGCGGGGCCTCAGGTATCTCCATGTATCAGAGCCTGTCTTTCTGAGGCTTTGCCACCCTTTGACGGTACCCAGCTAAGGCAGAGTGAAGTTCCAGCTAGCTGGCCTCACCTTCCTGCCCGTGGTGACCTGCCCCTACTTGTCACCTGGATTATTTAGGATTCCTCAGTTGCAGATCATACCAGCCAAATGCAAACTGAAGCAAGTGAAAAAGAGAAAGCATTGGGCCTTGGACCTAGAAAGTCCTGGGCCACACTGGCCCAGCCGAATTCAGGGCACACTTGAGCTTATCTGGGGGGCTGTGTCCCTTGTCCCTCTTCTCCCTCCATTTTTAAATTGTGTGTGTGTGTGTGTGTGTGTGTGTGTGTGTGTGTGCGTGTGAGACAGGGTCTCACTGTGTAGTCCAGGCTGGCCTTAAACTCACTAGGTAGCCTAGGCTGACCTGGAACTCACAGTGATCCTCCTGCCTCAGCCTCCTGAGTGCTGGGATTACAGGCATGTGCCAGCACGCCTTTTGTGCATTCTTACTTAGGCTTGGAGTGGTGGGGTCGCCCCACAGGTGTCACTTTCTGAGAGACATCTGGGAGGAGAGAAGAAGGCTGTGGTGTGTGCTGTCACCTGTCACACAGCCTGGGCCTTGGCTTCCTTGCCAGCCGCATCCCAGTTTGCTCTGCTGTGCGGAGGGGGGAGGAGGAGACCAGCATGGCTGGTCTAAGCCCGGCTGGAACCCTGTTCCTTTAGTCCTGTTTGGGTTTCAGGTCTGCCTGTGACCTTGCTTTTCCCAGGAACATGAGGGCTGTGGGCCAAGGGAGGCACCTAAGTGCTTTGCCCATTTTTAAAATTGGGGGTTTGTGTTTTTGTTCTTGAGTTGTATAAATTCTTTACCCACCTGGGCCTGTAATTCCAGCACTTGGGAGGCTGAAGCAGAGGATCGTTGTGAGTTCGAGATCAGCTGGGCTATGAAGTGTGCTCAAGGCCAGCCTGAACTGCATAGTGAGACCTTGTCTCAAAAAGATGAAGAAAACAAAATTCTTTACCCATGGTGTACAGGAGACCCACATCACTACACAATTTGTAAGTATTTCCTTTGATTTTGTGGAATGCTTTTTCACTTCCTTGATAGTTTTTTTTTTTTTTTTTTGAATGAACAGGGTCTTGTTATATAGTTAAGATTGACCTTGAACCCATTACATAGGCAGGTGACCTTGAACTTGGGTGATCTTCCTGCCTCAGTCTCTCGAGTCCAGGGATTATAGCCGTATACCACCATACCTGGCTTTCCTCAGCCCTTTAATAGAGATTTTTTTTCCCCTAGCCCTTTATTTTCTATTTTTAAATTTTTTTTGTGGTACCTGGGAACTCACAACCTCATGCTTGCAGGGCAGGTGCTTATGCCACTGAGCTAAATCCCTAGCCCTCCCCTATCCCTTAAAAAAAAATTTTTTTTTTTTTTTAAATTTTGAGGACTGGGGATATAGCTTAGTGACATAAGCGCCTGCCTGGCAAGCACCTGCTACCAATTTTTTGTTTTTGTTTTTGTCTTTTTGAGACAGGGTCCCACTGTGCAGTTCAGGCTGGCCTTGAGCTCACTTTGTAGCCCAGGCTGGTTTCTAACTTGCAACGATCCTCCTGCCTCAGCCTCCCAAGTGCTAGGATTACAGGTGTGAGCCACCACACCCAGCTCAATTTTTTATTTTTTTTGAGACAGGCTTTCTCTGAGTCCCTAAATTGCTTAGGCTATGTTTGAACTTGTGATCCTCCTGCCTCAGTCTCCCAGAGTGCTGGAATCTTGGGTGTATGCTACCATGCCCAACAATAATAGTGTTCTCTGACACATAGAAGTTTTTTTTTTTGGTCTTGTTTTGTGTTTTGGTACCGGGGATCAAACTCATGACCTCATACTTGCCATGTAGGTGCTTATGCCACTGAGCTAAATCTCTGGCTGAGAAGTTTTTCATTTTGATGAAGTTCAGTTTATCTTTTCTTTTCTCTTATTGCTTGTGCTTTTGGTGCGAACTGTCATTCCAAATACAAGGTTATGAAAGTTTATCCTTGTGTTTACTTCAAAGCATTTGATAGTCTGAACTCTTACATTTAGGCATTGATGCAGTTTGACACAGTTATGATTACTCAGCTTTTTGTTGCTGAAACCAAATATGCAAGGCACACAATTTAGTTTTTTTGTTGGTGTTTTTTTTTTTTTTTTTTTGGTTCTGGGACTTGAACTCATGACCTAGCGCTTGCCAGGTTGGCACTGTGCTGCTGAGCTGTGTCTCTGGCCCCAGTACACAACACACAGTTTAAAGGAGTAGTGGTTTAGTTTTTGTTCATGGTCTCCGTCCATGACTGACTGGCTGTAAGGCCAGTGGACATCACGGTGGGACAAAGCCGCTTGATTCCTGGCCCCTAGAAGCGGCTCAGCTGGAGGAGCAGCCCGGGCTCGAGGACAAGTGGAGGACAGTGGTAGGAAACCTATGGCCCACTCTGGGTTTGGGGGCATCTGATAACTATGTGAGCTTAGCATGGTTCTAGGTGTTGATAATGGAAGCCCCACCTTGGGTGTGGGGGGCATCAACCAACGTTGTAGCCTGGAAGAGATCGAGGGGCTGCCTGCTGCCTCCTGGCTGCCCTGCTTTAGACTGTTTCTTCCTTGCGATGCCGCCCTGCCTTGCAGCCAGCTAGCTGTGAACTGAAATCTCTATGAACTGTGAGCCAACAGAAGCCTCTTCTTTTAACTTGTGTGTGTCAGATATTTTGTCTCAGCAGTGAGAAAAGTAACTAGGACAAAGTTGCTTTTTTCCTTCCTTCTCCTCCTCCTCTTCCTCCTCTTCTTCCTTTTCTTCTCTCTCTCTTGCTCTCCTGTTTCCTGTACTAGAAATGGAACCCAGCCAGAGCCTTCTCACTGAGCTATATCCCCAGCCCTTTCTTTATCTTTTATTTTGAGACAGGGTCTCTGTAAGTCACTAAATTGCCCAGGCTGAATTTAAGCATGAGATCCTCATGCTTCAGCCTACTAGAATGCTGAGATTATAGAAGGGCATCACCACATATGGATGCTAAGAATGTGTCTTAATCTAGTCAAGGCTACAGTCACTATTAATGGCCATAATTATAATTAATGGCCAGAGATAATTTTTGCATATGGCACAAGGTTAATGTCAAACATCATTAATTTTCATATAGAGTGTTCCTCGCCTCCTTTGTTGAAGAGGTTATTCTCTTTCTATTGAATCTTACCAGCACCCTGTCAGAAATCAATGGACCAGCCAGGCATGGTGGTGCAAGTTTAAGGTCAGCCTGGACTACATAGCAAGACCCTATCATACAAAATATAACAAAACAAAGTATCAGTGGACCAGAGCCAGGGGCAGCCATGTACACCTGTATCCCCAGCTGCTTGGGAGGCTGAGGCAGGAATATCACCTGTGCCAAGAACTTTGAGGCCAGCCTGGAAAACCCTATTTCTTTTTTTTCAATTTTTATTGGTACCGGAGATCGAACTCACGACAGCCTGCTTGCAAGGCAGGTGCTTATGCTGCTGAGCTAAATCCCCAGCCCCGAAAACCCTATTTCTTAAAAAAAAAAAAAAAAAAAAAGGAGAGTTGGCATGGTGAAACATGCCTGGAATACAGGGTCTTGGGAAGCTGAGGCAGGAGGATTAAGTTCAAGGGCAGCCTGTACTACCAAGCCAGACCCTCAAAAAACAAAAGAAAAAAATGTATATATATATATATATATATATATATATATATATATATAAAGAGAGGTTTATTGCTGGACTGTTTTGCTTCGTGGATCTGTATGCCTACATTCACACCAGTACTGCATTGCCTTGCGTACTGCAGTCTCTGGGAGCCTCCAGCACAGCTGCCTCTGCCGTCTGTAAGGCCTGCTTTCGGAACGCCAGCCGGTCACCATGCCTGCTGTATGGAAGAAGCTCAGAAAATGGGCACTGGGTGAATGGCTGGGGTTTCTGCAGTTTTGTATAATTCCCGGGTAAAAACCACTGCAGTTGCCCTGCCCTGAAATAACTATTTCAAGAAATTTATCTTTTAAAATAAAATTTAAGATGGGAGCCAGTTTGGTGGTAGTAGACACCTGTAGTGCCAGATACTCAGGAGACTGAGGCAGGAAGATAGAGAATTAAAAGTCAGCTTGGCAACTCAGCAAGCCCCTAGCTCAAAATTAAAAAAAATAAATAAATAAAAATGGGAGTGTAGCTGTCTAGATACGCTTGATATTGTAGCATGCAAAGTTACACTCAAATAATTTAAGGAAAGAGGCACTGTGGTGACTATTGGATCATTGAACACAACTGTTTGCAGTCTCACTGTTTGAATGTCCACTTTGTGTGCTTTAATCCTGTGACTTGAACAACTATCTCTAAGATGATAATGTGTAATCTATTAAATGGGGATTTCTTACTGCTTTTTTTTTTGTAGTTCTGTATTACTTGTACCCTTATACTGTTTTGCTTTGTTTTGTTTTTTCTCTTTTTCCTTTTAAATAAAATTTTTTAAAAAATGGGAGTGTAGGTCAAAGGTGGAACACAAGCCTCTTGTGTGAGGATCTAGGTTCAATCACCAGTACCTCAAAAGAAGTTAAAATTTGATATAATTAGATAGGTAGCAGTGGTGGTGAGACCCTGCAGTCCCCTGTAGTCAACCTGAGGCAGGAGGATTGCTGCAAGTTTGAGGCCAGCCTGGGCTACATAGCAAGAACATGTCTCAAAAACAAATGGACATGAAACAAGTTAGACAGCTTAGCAATTTAGCAAGACCCTAACTCAAAGAGGGTGCATGTAACCTTTTGCTTATTGCTTAATCTCCCATATGAGAGAGAGAGAGAGAGAGAGAGAGAGAGAGATAGAGAGAGAGACAGACAGAGAGAGAGAGACAGAGAGACAGAGACAGAGAGAGACAGAAAGAAAGAAGGAGATAGACAGAGAGAGAGAGACAGAGACAGAGAGAGAAGTAATAGTTTAGTGATCCTGTGCCGTGCTTTTTTTTTGGTACCGGGAATCAAACTCAGCCTCATGCTGTGCTGCTGAACTACATCCTGGCTCCTGTTCCACTCTTACGTTGTCACCTGTAGCACAGCAGTATCACCAGGACACAGGGCACCATCCAGCCAACACCTGCTTTCTCCAGGTGCTCTTTTATGGCCACGCCCACTTTTCCTCTCTTTCTCCCTCCCCTTGCGGGCAAGGAGCCCTATCCAGGTGCCAGTGCTTGGCTTGTTATGTGCCTTTAGGCTCCTCTTATCTAGGCCCATCCTTAAACTTTCTTTCTTTTCATGACCTTGATTTCTCTGCTCTTTCTTCCTTTCTTTTTTTGAGACAGAGTTGCATTATGCAGTTCAGGCTGGCCTTGAGCTCACTTTGTAGCCTTGGCTGGTCTTGGACTCACAATGGTCTTCCTGCCTCAGCCTTCCCGGGTGCTGAGATTACAGGCATGCGCCACCACACCTGGTTTAAATTTGGTTTTTGAGACAGGGTCTCTCATTATGTAGTTTAGACTGAACCTGAACTCACTGTGCAACCCAGGCGAGCCTCGAACTCTCTGAATCCTCTCACTTCAGCCTCCCAAGTGCTGGGGTTTTAGGCATGTGCCACCACACCCAGTTTAGTAGCCCATTTTGTAAACACATATTTCCATCAACATCTCTCTATTTCACTGTTGCTAGAAATAGAAATAGCACTTTAGTTTTATTTCATTCTATTTTTTTTTTTTTTTTTTTGGTCTTTTTCCTTTTTATCGGTACTGGGATGGAACTCACGACTGCCTGCTTGCAAGGCAGGCGCTTATGCCACTGAGCTAACTCCCCAGCCCAGCACTTTAGTTTTGAACTTTTTTTTTTTTGGTACCAGGGATTGAACTCATGACCTCTTGCTTGGCAGGCAGGCGCTTATACCGCTGAGCCACATCCCCGGCTAGTTTTGAACTATTAATCTCTAGCACCAAAAGACTGAAAAGTAAATAAAACTGCATAAATTCTTTTCATGTCTTTTGGTGGATGTACACACATTACTTCTTCGGAGTGGGATTTTCCAGCCATAAAGTTTAGACATATTTAATTCTACTAGGACCTTTTAAACATTTCCCCAAAGTTGTTACAGTTCTGGTTGTTAGAATTCTAGTTAACAGAATTTCCAGTTGTCCAAACCCTCATCCGGTGTTTGATTGCTCATCCTTTTAGTTTGACCCATTCTAGGGATGTTGGAGCTGTGGAAGCTGAATGCACGTGCAGGGCTGTGGTGTGGCCCAGGAATGGCTGAACTGAGAACAAGGAGACACCTCAGTGGGCAGGAGAGACCACAGCTGAGGCCACCTGGAGACTTTCTGGATAGTTTTCCTTAACTAGCATCGTCTGGTGCTCTGAGGGGTCCTTGAGCCCCATCCAAGATCCTGCTCGGTTTTCCTGCATTTTGCACTCAACTCCTGGCTTGTGCTAATTGAATACGGGCCGCCCAGGGTCAGTTGGTCCGCTGTCTGGTAGAGTTACAAGCTCTGCTGAAGATTTTAGTCCCCCTGCAGCTCTGAAGATCATGCTGTTTGCCTCATTCCTTTGGGCCTTCGCTGTGCACTCATTGGGGGACTTACAGATCTAGGCATAGACCCCCGCATGGTGAGTGTGAAGCGGTATCTTGCTGTGCTTTTATTTGTATTGCTTTCCACTTTCACTGGCCATGTGAGTAGGCTCTGTTTTGAAGAACTTGTTGCCATCTTTGGACTGTTCCTAGTGGTCCTCCTAGTGGCTTCCTGGTCATACTCTGCGTCACTTTAGAACAGAGTCCATCCATGTATTTTTTTCCTAGATTTTTTTGTCACCAATATCCAACCATGTTTCTCCCAAGTTCTGACCATTCAGCCAACCCACCGGTGATTCTATATCAGTCCATGTAGATCTGTATGTCAGGCTGCCTCTAGGAAGTCCTGGTCACCAAGCGCTCTGCTCCAGAGCTGTCTGAAGGGGGAATTTCCTTTCTCTGCTGTCTCCCAGGACCCATCGGCGTGGGGCTGCGGTGCCACAGCCCTGTAGATTCACACAGTGCCAACTATTGTGCAGTCATCTGCACCCCAGGCCTGGAGTTCTCTTCTCAGCTGGTCATCAGCGTGTCCGAAGAGGCCTCGGAGAGTTAGAGAAGCGGCTGCATGTTAGAGTAGGCATCCGGGAAACCGAGGAAGCCGGGCACGTCCAGCTGCCAGAGCAGACCAGAAAGGGTGACGGGCAGGAGATGCAGGTGTCCAGGGGGCTCTGCCTCTGCACCCGAGGCTGGGCTGGGTGTGAGTGCATCAGCAGGGCCAGCAAGTGGAAGGAGAGCCGTGCAGTCTGGTGCCCACCAGAAACCTTAAGTGAGGGGTGCAGTGGTGCGCATGCGCGCTCACTCCGCCTGCCCACCTCCCAGGGTCTCTTTCCAGCTACACCCTCAAAACACCCTGAAGAAGGGAACACATACCTCCAGTTTAGCCAGACACAGTGCAAAACTACTGCATCCACCTAATGAGTTCTTAATTCCAAAACCTGGACTATTTTACTTGGTCCAGGCTGGCCTGGAACTCATGGTGATCTTCCTGCCTTAGCCTCTGGAGTGTCAAGATTACAGGTATGTATGTGCCACAGTATCTGGCTGTGGGCCTCTTAGAACATTAGGACTGGGTTCAGTGGGCCCATTCTTTTTATTTTTTTTTAAAGGGGGTAAAATTAAACACAACAAAACAGAACAAAATGAGGGCTGGGGATTTAGCTCAGCGGCATAAGCGCCTGCCTTGCAAGTCTGTGGTCGTGAGTTTGATCCTTGGTACCAGTAAAAGTACAAAACAAAACAAAACAGAACAAAATAGGACATAAGAAAGCAATGTAAGAGATATAAATTTCAAAGCTAGATGACCTGAGATCTTCACTAACTATTATATTGTCTCTTGCTTTCTTCCAAACAGTTGTCCATGTCTTCGCATAAAGAGAAGTCATACAAAACAACATAGTATAAAACTGATCCGAACAGAATGAGGAAGGTGTTTTAGGTCTTCAAAACCAGACAACAGGGAAGTCACTAATGGCTGTCGTAGAGTCTCTATTCTTCAAATTAGCTGTCCATACTTTCATGTATATTGAAGTTCAACAAAACAAAACAGGCTAAAATAACACCATTAATTAGAACAAAGCAAAACAGGGATAAAAGTATTTGCCAAGAGCTGGTAGAAGGAAATCCCCCTATTTGCTGCATTGCCTGTGGTCAGCCTCTCAAGGGATGTCCAGATCACTGGCTCCCACTTGCTAACAGGCGGGCGGGGACACGGAATATGTGATTTGCCAGCATGTTCATAGCCACTCACCAGTGGGGAAGAGGTTGTTTGGTTTCTCAGTGCTCCAGGTCCCAGCATAGCGTGGGTCCCAGTAACGTCCTGGGAGTAGGCCCATTCTTTACTTTTCTACTGTGAATTTGTACTTCAGTGTAATAGTAGCCAGGTGTGTGTCTCAGCATCTTTCCTTCAGGGGTACAGGAAACAATCTATGTATTTACCCACCTGGGATGATGAACGGCAAGGTGTGTGCAAAAAGTGTCAAAATGGGACTTGGACCCACCTTTATGATCCAGCTAACTGGTTTTGTGTATGTTTACCCAAGCATCACAGTGGGTCCAGAAGACCCACAGCACTCCAGGATTTGTTTAAAATTTTTTTTTCTTTTGATTTTTCTGATGGAAGTAGCTCAATTCAGTACAATGACACATGAAAATCCTGATTTGCAAGTTTGGGAGCAAGTCAAAACTGAATCATCAGACTACTTACCCATGGATGATGAAGATGATTTATTATGGTAAAATGCATGCTTTTGTCACAGAAGAGTGGTGTGAGCAAATGATGATGATGATGACTTTGACATTGGCCATGTGAGCCAAAATTCCTGTGACAGTGAATAATTGGGTGATACAGACACAGGAAATGCAGACCTTGTTGATTCAGATGTCCAAAGAAAACAGCAATATGAGTACATTGTTCTGTGTATGTGTGTGTATCGGGGATCAAACTCATGACTGCACGCTTGCCAGGCAGGCATTCATGCTACTGAGCTAAATCCCTGGCCCTGGGAGAATATATTTGATTAGTTGGAATGTTGCAAAATGGCCGTGTGCACAAATGGAGTGATCCAATGTCAGAACTAGATCTGAAAGTATAGTGAAGGTCTGGGCCAGGGTGAAAGGCAGTGGAAAGAATGCCAGCATTTTGATGTTGGAGATTGTAACAGACAATATACTGACTGTGAGATGCTGTGAGATACACAAAGGGTGCAATGCAAGTAAAGTTCTGTATGCGCCAATAGCCATATTCAAAAATGCATTTGTTATGTTACCTCGCTAGCCGAACTGAAAGCATTTATGGGTCTCCTGTACTTAGCACAGCTGTCTCATGGTGACTGCAGGAGCAGAAAAGATTTATGGAAAAGTAATGCTCAAAATGTGGCATACAAAAGGCCAGGGATTTAGTTCAGTGGCACAAATGCCTGCCTGGCAAGTGTGAGATTGTGAGTTTGACCCCTGGCACCAAAAAAAGGCATGCAAATTTATGCCCTCGTAGATGTGAAGACTTATTATGCTCTCTGTGTAGAAATTTATCCTGGAGCTCAGCCATCAGGTCCTTATTCATAGAGTAATAAACCAAATGAGGTGAACAGACTTGTGGCTCCCATCTCCCAAACTAATCGGACTGTGACATTCCACAGTTGGTTTACCACTTTCTAATTGATGCTACATTTGCTAAAAGGGTACAAGTTGACCAGCCCAGGACCTGTATGCAGGAACAAAGCAGAAATTCCAAATGAAGCAGAAATTCCAAATGAAATGTTGCAATTTCAAAACAGAGAATTGTATAGTACAATCTTTGAGTTTCAGAAAGAAATAACGTTGGCCTCCTATATGGCAGAGAAAAGCAGGCTGGTACTGTTGATGTCCACATTTCACCAAGATGGAAATACTGATAGGGGAAGCATGTATTTTATCATACTAAATCATCTTCATCAGCCATGGGTGAGTAATCTGATGGTTCAGTTTTGACTTGCTCCCAAACTTGCAAATCTGGTTTTTCATGTGCCATTGTACTGCATTGGGATACTTCCACCAGAAAAATCAAAAGAAAAAAATAAAAATAGTTAAATCCTGGAATGATGTGGGTCTTCTGGACCCACTGTGATGCTCGGGTAAACTACATAAAAAAAATCGTAAGGGTGGGTCCAAGTCCCATATTGATACTTTTGCACATTCCTTGCCATTTGTCATCACAGGTGTGTAAGCATAGATTGCTTCATGTACCCCTCTGGAGGGGAAAGATACTGATATACACACCTGGCTACTGTTACAGAGAAGTGCAAATTTATAGTAGGAAAGGAAGGGTGGGCCCATTGAATCAAGCTTTATGTTCTGATAGCACTGTAGCTCAGCCTGGTGTGGTGCATGCCTGCACTTTGGGAGGCTGAGGCACAAGAATGGAAAGTTCAAACCAAGCTTGGGTATCTTAGTGACTTGAAAAATAAAAAGGACTGGAGGAAAATAAAGTTTCAGTGGGAAAGCCCAGGTTCAGTCCTCAGTACTACCTAAGAAAATCCCAGAAAACCAAGCAGGGGGAGATTTTTCTTGATGTTCTCTGTGAGAACTGGGTTAGCTCTCAACTCTATCTGCAAAGGTGAGAGGCCTGTGAGTGGGCTCCTGGACCTGGCTCTCTTTGACTGTTCGCCTCGGTTCTCCTCCCCTGCCCTGCGCCCCTCAGCATTTCTGTGTTCTGATTCTGCCCTGGTGAGCCTTGATTCCTTTATTCTCCAGTCTTTCTGGCTTCAGGGACAGCAGTTTGCCTTGTGACTTTGCTTTTGTGGAGCCAACACAGTTGTTGATTTTTCGACTTCTTATTTCCTTTTTCACAGCGCTGGGGAAGGAGCCCAGGCCCTCAAGGGTGTCAAGCAACCGCTCATCACAGAGCCTGGGGCCTGGTCAGCTTTGAATCTTCTGCAGGATGGAGAGAGACCATCTGAATTGCTTGGAGCCTGCCTTCTAGGATAGATCCACCTTCATCTTTTTTTTTTTTTTTTCTTTTTTCCAGTATCGGGAATCGAATTCACGGCTACCTGCTTACAAGGCAGGTACTTATGCTGCGGGGCTAAATCCCCATCCCCTGATAGATCCACCTTTTGAGCTGAACTTTCATCCAGCTCTAGGATATCCGATCTGAATACAAAAAGCAGCAGTAACCAAGTCAACCGTACCTACTCAGTAAGGCTCCAGGACAGTTACCATGTGTGTCATCAGTGATGGTGTCTAGATCTTCCATACACCCACCAAGGGACTGGGGTGCCCAGGCAGTTCCTGCAAAGGCCAGGAAAGATCAGAATCTTCACCACCTAAAGGAGAAATAGAGTCGAGCTACTCACAGACAAAGCCACCCCTCTTTCCCTCCTCCCAGGCCCCAGAGCCTAAAGCCTCTGGCTCTGAGCTCCTCTCACCAGGCCCCACTCCCACAGTGTCAGTCCGTCTTTGATATTGCCGCTTCTTCCAAAAGTGCTGCTCAAGTCTTTGCTCAGGACACCAAGAACCTGGAGAAGATCCTCATCTGGACCACGGATGCTGTTGCACACCTGTAATCCTAGTACTCTGGAGGCTGAGGCAGGAGGAATATAGCCAGTTGGAGGCCAGCCTGGGCTCTATGAGGAATACATCCTGGCTAAACCAAACCAGGGCTCAGGTTTTAGCTCAGCAGCACAAGCACCTGCCTGGTAAGTGCAAAGTCATGAGTTTGATCCCCAGTACCGAAAAAACCCAAGCCAAACCAGGCCAAACCAAAAAGTCCTTGATCTGACCACATCAGCTTTGCTCTTCTAGACTCATAAGACATTGGTCCCCTCAGTCTGATCAGCAGTCAGCCTGGGTCTGGAATGAGCTGCAGTTTCACAGAATCCCTGGTTGGTTTGAGTCCTCTTTGTCAGGCGTCATCCTACTGCCTTCTGAAGGAGCTCCTGGAAGAACTCTGCCTCCCCAACTGTAAACTGACAGGTTTGCTCTGCCTGTTAGAAGTTTCTAGCTTAACCCTTGCCTCCTTTCCAGGGGGGCTCCAGACTCTGCAAGGGTCCTGGGTGCAAGGCAAGACCTTTTCCGGTCTGCCTTTGAGACCACCCCAAAGCCTGCCGCTTGCCTTTCCCTCTTGACAGTCCCTGGCCTGGGCTAAGCTTTTGTGTCCAGACTTGGGAAATACCACTGGAGAAGAAATCTGGCCAGTGCCTCTCATTCCAGAACGGCTCTTTCCTTCTCAGTGTGGGAGACTGAACACAGGGCCTTGGGTCTCCTACATGATAGGTAAGCACCGTACCACTGTACCCCAGCCCCGGTGGGATTTTAGCTCATGTCTTCGTCATTGCATTCACAGATCTCTGCTGTCTTTAAAGAGATTTTTGCAACTTAGCAAAAAACATTTTTTTCCCCAATGTCCTTAAAAATATTTGTATATCGGGGCTGGGGATTTAGCTCAGCGGCATAAGCACCTGCCTTGAAAGCAGGCAGTCGAGAGTTCAATCCCTGGTACCGATAAAAAGGAAAAAGACAAAAAAAAAAAAAAAAATTTGTATATCCTAGTTAGAAACAGAAGTGTTAGCTTGGGACTACAGGTTAGGGGCAGAGCACTTGCCTAGCATGCTTAAGAGATTGGAGTTTTTGTTTCTTTTTTTTTTTTTAACAGTAATAGGTATCACAGTATATTTCGTTATCTTTACAATAGTTGTTCTCTCAATCACGTATATCAAAATAAAATGAAATACAGAACATTATAGAAGTTATCAAAACAGAATATTGAATAGAGCACTACCATTAATCAGAATAAAGCAAAACAGTAGTAAAAATATTTGCCTTCAAAGAGATGGTAGAAGGAAATCCCCCTTATTTGCTATGGTCGACCTCCCAGGAGATGCTCAGATTTCTGGCTCCCATTTGTTAATGGAGGACAGGGGAAGGTGGGTTGGGGAAGTGGGATGTTTGACTCTAGGCCATGCACCAGTGGGTTCACTATTACTTAGCAGGGAGGCAGGTGGGTTGCTTGGTTTCCCAGGGTCCTAAGTTCCAACATGGCATGGATCATAGGAGACACTGGTGATTCTCCCCCTGGAAGGGCCGCAGTCTGCCTCATTTTGTTTTTTGAGATAGGGTCGCCCTATGTAGCCCAGGCTGGCCTTGAACTTGAGGTGATCTCCCTGACTCAGCTGCCTGTGCACCAGGGTTACAGGCCTGTGCTGCCATTCTTGGCTATGGGACTGGATTTGATTCTCAGAATTAGAAAAAAAAAAAAAAAAATTCAGGGGTGATTCCGGGCCTGCCCCGTGTTAGCAGCTGTGGTACTGGGAACACTGGCCTGCGCTTCCATTTGTCCTTCTGCCCTTCTGCTGGCTTGCAGATTGCTCTCCTCACACGGGTATGAAGGCCACCAGCACTTTGAGCCCACATCAGTCCCATCGGTGACTCCAGTCAAGCCTTCTCCTCGCCAACACCTTCAGTCAGCTGGATGTGTGAGTCTTGCTGACTTGATGGGGTTACCTGGGCACCTGGGACCCAGCACCGTGCTTAGGGGACATGTCCTGTTGGCTTGATCTGGGCATCCAGCTGCCCTTTCAGCTGATCACTGCTTTGCTGCTTTCCCACCCCCAGAGGAACTAGACAGCCTCTTTCCAAAGGGCTCCAGCAAAAAGTCCAAAGGATAACAAACAGTCAAGGCAGGAGGCAGGCATGGCAGCCAGCGCACGCCTGTAATCCCAGCACAGGGAGGCTGAGGCAGGAGGACTGTTGGGAGTTTGAGACCAGCCTGGGCTACAAAGTGAGCTCAAGGCCCCCTGAACTGCACAGTGAGACCCTGTCTCAAAAACACATGGAGAGTTGAGGTAGGGAGACGGGGTACAAAGCTCTTGACTGAATTGGACCAGGAGGGGCAGGAGCTGCCAGGTGTGGCCTGCCTTAGGATTCTTGATGACTTTTCCCAAAGGGATGCTTAGATGCTTCCTCCTTGGTCGCCTGCACCTGCAGCTGCTGGAGTTAGCATATTAAAAAGCCAGGATATGGAGGGACATTTGAATTTCAATATGTACTGAGTACATTTGTAACATCAGCATGTCCAGCGCACACTCCACTCAGTGTGTGTCAAGTACCCCTGCCCAGCCCCACTGGGTAAGGTGCTAACTCCGCAGTGTGGGGACAAAGCCACCAGTGTAATTGTCTGGTCTAGAACGGTCCCGCAGAAACGATGGCTGCCGTCAGGGGCCCTCCTGGGAGGTGCTGCCACCTTTGGAGGTGGGGCCTCCTTACAGGAAGCAGGTCAGGGCGGGGCAGTGCCCTTGGAGGGGTCAAGGAGAGCTTCCCCTCCCCCCACTTCTGTGTCTGGCCTCTGTGAGCAGCTTTGTGTCTCCACCATGATGCTTGGCCTCACCCCAGGCCCAGAAGCTGTGCACCCAGTGACCTTGGCCCAAGAACTCTGGAACTCCAATAAATCTTTCTTCCTCTCTTAATGTATTCGTGTCAGGTATTTCATTGCAGTCGTGGAAGCTGGAAACACTCCAACCACTTTGTGTGGGGAAAGGGGATCATTCCCCAAGGGGAAGTGGAGGTGCTGTCCCCAGAATTAGCAGAATTAGCGTGGCTGTGGGCAGCACCGCACACCTTTTCAATGCCACCCTGTACCAGCTCCTCTTCCTTGGCAAGACAGAGGGCCGGGCCTGGGGAGTAAGTGGAGATCCCTCAATTTTGGGCAAATCTGCTGCTCCCTTTCCCCCTGGGGACATTAGGGTTCATCTAAACCTCCACTGATAATCTCTGTCCTTGCCAGAGGAATTCCTCAGCCTCAGTCCTGTCTTCCTAGCACTGTAGCCGGCTAAGTTAGGGAGAAAAATTCCAGACAGTCTTACAGGTCTGGATGAGAACACAGGAAAGCTGTAGCTGGAGGCATATTTGTGGATGCTCAGGCCTCCAGATAAAGACGGAATGAGGCCGCCTACATACCTCCCCAGGGGTAAACAATAATGATCCATATCTTAAATAGGCATCAGTCACCCTGTGTGACCAGGGTCTCCTGACCCATCCTTTCTGAAAAAGGTCTTTGTTTTTGGTGTGTGCACGTGCTGTGTGACCTGCTCCCCCACTGGACCAATATTACATAGGTGACTACACTTGTAACCTTATTGGTAGACCATAGTTTTGTCCCATGTAGTGCCCACCTTGTGATTTTTGCTCTGTAAAACCTCCCTGTAAAGTGGAGTCCACGGCAGCCCACTTTCTGGGTCCCCTACTTTCTTTCTCTGGAGCTTTCTATCCCTCAATACAATTTTCTATTTTTAACTCTGCTGTTGCTCAGAATTCATTTTTCAATTTTGGGGAACAGGAACTCAGTGTATTGGACATCTAGCAGATTGGGAGTTAAAATATTTGGGAATCATTTGGGAGTCCTGTATCACTTCCTCTACCCTTGGTCCCTTGCACTGTATTTTCAGCTATCCTACCAAAATACACGTCTGCTCATGTCACCCCTCCAGCATACATGCACACACATATGCATGCACACATGCACTTACAGTTATCTCCCGTTGCTTTGCTTTTTTGTTTTCGTATTTTGAGTTTCTTTGTTTTTCTTTTGTGACAGTGTCACTATATAGTGCAGGCTGGCCTCAGACGGTGATCCTGCCTCAGTCTCCCAAATGCTGGGATTACATGTGTGTGCCACCATGCCTGGCCCTCCCATTGCTCTTAGACCAAAATGTTTCACAAAGCCTTTTAATCTGGGCTGACTGTGCTTCAAGCATATCTCAGCCAGCTGCTTTTCTCTCAGTGAGACTCTGTTCCCTTCCACCACAGGGCCCTTGCACATGCTGGGATGGCTGGGATGATCTTCGCCACCTCTCCTCACATGGTTCAGTCCTGCTCTGCCTTCGGACCTCTTCATCATTCTGGCTTTCTGAAGACAACCTCTTCTTGGCTATCCAGATTGATGATTACAGCTTCTCAGAGTTCAACTGCACCTAAATCCAAACTATACCCAGAAATCTTTATGTTTTATAAATGACCCTCTCTGTGGTATTCAGTTATAGCAACAGGAAATGACATAAGAAAGGCTTATGTGATTTTTTTTCTTTTTTTGTGTGTGACAGGCTCTGTTGGCCTTGAACTCACTATGTAGTTCAGAGTAGGCTCAAATTTATGGTGATCCTCCTGCCTCAGCCTCCTGAGTGCTGGGATTATAGGCATGCTCCACTGTGCCCAGCTGGATTATGTGAATCTTGAGAGTTAGAGTTAGAAGTGGGGGCTGGGGATTTAGCTCAGTGGCATAAGCGCCTGCCTTGCAAGTAGGCAGTCGTGAGTTCGTGAGTTGGATCCCCGGTACCGATAAAAAGGAAAAAGACAAAAAAAAAAAAAAAAGAGAAGTGATTAAATTGTCTCCTGTTGTAGCCCTCACTACTGATACACTCCCAGCTGTGTGTCCCCTTGCTCCTGTACCTTCTCCATCCCTGGCATTCTCAGATTTTTAAGTCCATGCCAAGGAACGGGTGAATAACAACAGTACTTGCTGTTTAACAGCAGTGCCCTAAACGTCAGGGAAGTCGAGCCTTTGTGTACTGGTCTCCTCTTTTTCTCAGACTGTCAATTGCCTATTTCTAACCTGTCATCATTTTTGTGACTATATTGTGGGTTCTTTCTTATTACTTTAGTGAATTGTACAAACCCACTGCTCTGTGAAGGGGAAGATCACATCTCATGGTCACTATTGGCATGTGCCAGGTGCTTTATAAATTAAAAAATTTTCTTCATAACCGGTGCTTTTGCTGCAAGTGTCAGTTGCCATCTCAGAGAAGGGAAAAGGGAAGCCCCAGACCCAGGCAAGCCCTGGCGGGAGCACAGAAAGAGCTCCTTGGGTCTGGGAAGCAGGAAGGGAAAGTGCTGGTGCCTGACAGTTCTCCATTTTTTCTCTGTCTCTGTCTCTCTGTCTCTCTGTCTCTCTGTCTCTCTGTCTCTCTGTCTCTCTCCCTCTCATTTTGGTGTTCTAAGTTTCTCCTCCCCTTTCCACAGCTAGGTCTCCCTCCTTCTGTCCCCTGGCAGAAGGCTGGCCTTGACTTTTTTTTTTGGTCTTTTTCCTCTTTATCGGTACCAGGGATCAAACTCAGGACTGCCTGCTTGCAAGGCAGGCATTTATGCCGCTGAGCTAATCCTCAGCCCTCTGGCCTTGACTTTTGGGACTTCAAGCCACATTCTGAGGTCAGCGGGCCACATACGAAACTGCACCCCCAATAAAAACTGCGGGGAAAGGAGAGCTGACTGGCCTTGTGGGGGTCAGGGTGACCTTGCTTCTTTCAGCCAACTGCAGCTTCCTGGGCTGGGCCTGGTGGAAGGGACAGGGCTCAGGGCACCGCCCTCGAACCAGAGCAAAGTGGACCAGAACAGAGTGGTTTCCCAGGCAAAGGGACAGAGGTGAGGGACCAAGCTCCAAGCCGTGTCCCTTGTGTCTTGGGTCATTTATAAAGAATTGGCAGAGCAGTGTGACCTGCAGCTGGCACCTCCGTGATCAGCGCTGCTGCCCCTGTTCACTTATCCAGTGTCTCCTGAGCATGCAGCCCTCCTGCAGCCCTGTGGGAAGACAACTCCCTGGGCCCTGCTCCAGGCCACCATCGGAGCACCTGGCACAGGGACCAGAGAAGGGGCAGGGTGCTCCACCCACTACGGTCCCGGAGAGTTAGGCTGGGGTTCCCCCATCTCTGCACAGAGAGACCATGGAATTGGGGTCTATCATGAGGTAAGACCTGTCCCAAAGGCCACCCAGAAAAGAAAGACGGACAATGACATCATGGTGACACTGTTGGAGCCTCAGGTCAGGGCCACCTGAGGACAGCTGAGCTGAATGCTGTTCAGTTTACAAAAGATAGAAACTATAATATACAACAATAGGAATGGACCTTCAAGACATTAACTGAGGCCAGCAGGTAACAGATAATTTCTGCGTGATCTCCTACAAAATAGCTAAGAGTCAAATATGTTTTTATTTATTTACTTTTTGTAGTTCAGGCCGGCCTTGAGCTCACAGTGACTGTCCTGTCTCAGCCTCCTGAGTGCTGAGGTTATGGGTGTGTACCGTCACACTGAGCAGTAAGTCAAAGCTGTAAGTCAAAGAGTGGAAATGGTGGTTGCTAGGGCCAGTGGAGGGAGAAACAAGGAGTTGCCTTTTCATGGGTGCAGTTTCAGTTAAAGAAGATGAATGAACTCCAGAGCCTTTTTCCTACCACATTGTATCTGCAGTCAACAAAAACTACTGTACTGTTAAAAATGTGTTAAAAGGGTAGAGCTCATGTTAAGTTATATTACTGCAATTAAAAATGAGGGGCGGGGGATTTAACTCAGCGGCATAAGCCTTGCAAGTGTGTGGTCGGGAGTTTGATCCCTGGTACCGATTAAAAAAAAAGAAGGAAAGAAAAAAAAAAATGAAAGGAGATACCACACATGGTGGAGTACACTTTTAATCTCAGCATTTTGGGAGGCTGAGGCAGGAGAATCACAAGTCTGAGTGGTTAAAAAAAAAAAATAGGGGCTGGGGATTTAGCTCAGCGGCATAAGCACCTGCCTTGCTAGCAGGCGGTCGTGAGTTCGATCCCCGGTACCGATAAAAATGAAAAAGACAAAAAAAAAAAATTTCTTAAAAAAAAAAAAAAACATAGACAGACAGATTGGGGATGTGACATGTAAAGCATCCCAACCTCCCCCTCCAAAGGAAAAGAAGAGCAGAGAGCTGGACATGGAGGCTGAGCCAGCCTGGACGACATAACGAGATTCTGTCTCCGAAAACCAAGAGCAAAGCCAAAACGCCACGAAAGGCCTCTAAGTGCAGCGTTTCCCGATATGCCTAAAGCGCAGCAGATGCGTCTGAACTGCGGGGCAGGCTTCTGGGCAGCCAAGGGTTAAACTGGGGTGGGCGGAGCCGAGGAAGGCGCGCTAGGAGCTGCGAGCCCCCGCGATCATTTATTTCCTAAAAGATGTTATGCAGCAAATATGTCATAATGTTTAGATTTGCTAAAGCCGAGTGGTATGAGAGCGTCTATATGTATGTATATAATAGATCTTTTCGTGGATGTTTGAAATGCTTTCTAGTTTTTTTAAAAAGCGCCGTTAAGTGTTAAGGATTTGGATTCAGGCTCAGGGTTACATCTTTTCTTCCTCAGCTGCAAGCTGTGCTTTGGCCCTGTGGCTCCCTGGATCACCTTTAGACAGCTGCCACCTCCCTTTCACCTACACTGAACACCATGGAGGTAGCAGAGAGACACAGGCGGCCAGTTTTTTCTTTTCTAAAGTAAAATTTACTGGCTGCTTTCTTTTCTCCCATCCACTTTCCTCCCTCTTTCTTTCTTTTTCTCTCTTTCAACATGGTCTTGCTATGCACCCAGCCCAGGCTGGGCTTGAACTTTTGGTGATCCTCCTGCCTCAGCTTCCTGAGTGGTAGGATTACAGGTCTGGACCATAATGTCAATTTCAAATTTAAGTTTCTAGGGCTAAAGTTCTACTCCCCCAGTACACACACATATGGAGACCGAAGTTTGGTCTTACGCTTGGGTATAATTGTTAGGTTTGCAATTCCTTTGGAATTTTACAAAGGATGATTAAATCTACAATCTACATAAACTTCCTTTTAGGGAAGGGTGTATCTCAGTGATAGCACATTTGCATAACATTTAGAAGCTCTGAAGTCTATAGAATCTAGTTTGTAGGAAATTGGGTCCAGTGAAATGGTCATATTTACATTCTTTTTTTTTTTTCCCGCCCCCCCCCCTTTTCCCAATATTTACATTCTTACAAGCTTCCTTTGGGCACATTACTACTGGTTTACTTATCAGGGCCTTGCAGGGTGGTGTGCGCCTGAGGGGTGAGGGAAGCTTGGGATGCTGAGGCTGAGGCCAGCTAGGGCCACATAATGAATTTCAGGCCAGCGTGTAGTGACACCCTGTCACTACAAACCCAAAAAAGAGAACAACAACAACAACAACTAGGGTGGGAGCCTCTGGCTCCTGTAAACTGGACCAGAGACCTTGGAAGCCTGCAGTGGCTGGAAATCCCAGCCAGTGGACTAAGCGATAGTCAGACAGGAAGGGAAGAAGCAGGTGTCCTAAACGCGATCTGATCTGACTTTGATACAGACTGAAAAGCTTCCAGGTTATGACCTCCTTCTCTTCTCCTCCCCCAAGGCTTTGTTTTCCTTTTCTCATCTCATCTTCTTGACCCAGATACTTGGGAGCCAGCCAGGCCTTTCTTGGGTCATCCCGTTCAGGCCGGCGCTGGAGATTCCGCTTTCTGACTCCAGCTGGAGCTAGGACTACCACCAGCCCACACCGGGGTAGTGGTTAGAAGCTGGGTAACATGTACCTGCCGTCAGAGCCTGAGGCAGGAAGATAGCACGTTTGGTGCCAGCCTCGGTGATCTGGGGAGACCCATGTAAGTCACTGGGCAACTACCTAGCTCCTTGGTGAGGAACGGTGTGTCTTCTTCCCGCTTGAGTGCAGGGGTTCGTGGGGGCACGGGTGCCCAAGGGCCTCTGGGTCTCCCTCGATTCTCTTTAAGCTCCTGAGTGTCCCTAGTTCCTTCAGGATAGACTGAGGCTCTGGAGGTGGTGCTTAAGGATTAGCCCCTGCCCAGCTTCCCCTACACCCTCTCTTCACCAGCAAAGCTTTGCTCTCTTTCTCTTATTGTGATGCCTCCCACTCATCCAGGACCAGGCCCAAGTCTTGGAGCTCTCCCCAGCTGGGTGGCTCTTCCCAGGCTTCCTTCTCCCTTTACACAGCCCCCAGTGTTGGAATCAGTGCCACCCTGCTTTATTTTTTTGCGACAGGGTCTTGCCGTGTATTCTAGGCTGGCCTTGAATTTGTAGTGATTCTCTTGCCTCAGGCTCCTGAGTACTGGGATTATGTTTGCACCGCTACACCTTGTCACACAAAAATATTTTATTTTGCAATCAGAACATAATTAAGCTTAAGGGTCAAAGACAATGTGTTAATTTTCACATAAAGACGTGTTAAAACTTGTAAAATTTCTCTTGAACACAGGACAGCCACAAAAGCAAGAGTGCCTACTGCTCTTGATTGGTGGCTTCCGGCCCCACCCATCTACCCAGTGGCCTGAGAGTTCCTGGGGAGCAGGCCTGGACCTCCCATGTTATTTTGATGCTTCCTAGCAGTGCTAGGTTGGGAACTCAAGGTCTTTTCTTCTTCGTGAGTGAGTGAGCACTGTACCACTGAGCTACAGTCCCAGCTTTACTTGCATGCAGGCAAAAAATTTGGCAGTGACTCTGGTAGTTTGCCAGTATGTATGTTACCAGGCATGGAACAAAGGCTCTCCAACATGGGCTCGACCACTGAATCACACCCTCTGCCTTTTCTAAGGTTTTATTTTGAGACAAGTTCTGGCTAAATTGCCCACTCAAAACTTGGAACTCAAAATACTCCTGCCTCAGCCTCCTGAATGCAAGGACTATCGATGTGCACCACCACTTCCAGCTAGGTGGGGTGAAGTTCTTGTTTGGGAGTCTGTCTTTCTCTGACCAGCCCAGCTGCTGTTTCCTGAGGCTGGCTGAGCACCAAGCCGTGGGTGGTGAGCAGAGATCTGGGAACTGTAGAGCCTGGGGCCCTCCCGGAGGTGTGCAGGGTGTGGGCGAGGTGGCAGGGCAGGAGGTTGCTAAAAATGGCTCCAGGTGTCATGGAACCTTTCTTTTGGTAACAAGCTGAATTACTTTTTTATCCACGTAGAGTGCCAGGAGAACATAGCGAAGTGCCACACCGTCACGGTTACTTTTGTAATTATAAACTAAACAGATATAAAGCACAAGGCTCCTTAGTCCTAGATAGACAGGAAGGCTTCTTTCACTTTAAAGCAGGCTGCTTTCCCCTTGAAAATGTTTTACTGTTTTTGGTGGTAGTGGGGCCTGAGCCCAGGAACTGCACTCCTAGTTTCCTCTCAGAGCCACACACAGAAACACATGGAGGCAAGGTGCCTAACTCTCCTCTTTGTGTCCCTGACCAGGCAACCCTCTATCTCCCCGTCCCATCTGGCACCCTGTGAGCCCGGGACCCCTGCCCCCAGCAGCTGAGAAGCTCAGCTCCTCCCTGAGAGCAGGGCCAGAAGTGGAGCACGCAGTGCTGTGGGGCAGACTCAATTTCCCCGTGGTGATGCATCTCGGGTCATTAGAGGGATGGCAGAAAAGACAGAGTATCGCCTACAGTGACAGAGCCCTCCTGTCACTTGAGAAATCTCGCAGCTGCCAGGTATTTGAATATTTCCTGTGGCGGTCGAAGACCTGGAACTGTTTTTTTTTTTTTTAATTTTTAATTTTTTTATTTTACAAGTCACAGGGTGTGTAGGTCTCGGTCGCTGGTGTGTCTCCAGGTGGAAAAGCACGCGCGCACAGCGCACACAGTAGGTATCGAGGAGTGAGAGCGATGTGTCAAGGTGTTTTTGACGGGATTGCTTGGCACCTCCAGATAGTAAGACCCCGCACGGCCAGCACCTGCTTCTCCAGCCGGTCCTCGCGGAAGGACCCCGGGCTGCCGCAATCCTAGGCAGCCTTTCAGGGCCCTTTCTCTATTTTCTCGGGAGCTGGAGACCTGGAGGCGCCCCCAGCGTCCGCAGCCAGGGTCCACACGGGCGCTTCCCAGTCGTGGTGACCAGCGTCCCCGGTGCCCGACATTCCGTCCGCGTCCCCTCGGGCGGGGCGGGGGGGGGGGCTAGGTTTTTGCCAAGGGCCTCGCCCGACACCCCCAGACCCCCCTGGGCAGGCGCCCAAGTGTCGGCCGCGCGCGCCCGGCCTTCCCTGGCTTCCGTCCCGGGGCCACCTCCTCCCGCAGGGCCGGGCCCCGGCGTGCCCGCTCCCCGCTGGCCGGCGGTGCTCCCCTCGCCAGCCCGCGCCTCGGCGGCCGCGCCCTCACCCCTGGCCGACCCTGGGAGCCTCGCCCGCCTCCCCCGCCCGCGGCGCAGCTCAGCTCCCAGCGCGCCCCGGCGGCTCCACCCTCCCGGCGGGGCCGCAGCCATCTGGGGCCCCTGCCAGTAGCGTCCGCCCGGGGCCCGCGCCGAGTGTGCGCGGGGGAGGCGGCGGTGCGCGGGCACCCGGCCGTCCCACCGGGCCGTCCCCTCCTGTCACGGCAGAGCGCGGGGCACTGGGATGCCCCGAGGGGGCGGTGGCCGAGAGCTGAGCCCGACCCGGAGCGCGTCCCAGGGGACGCGGTCGCCCCTCGCCACCTCGGTGACCCTTTGGGAGCCGAGACGCGAGTCCCGGAGGCGGAGGCGCGGGCCTGCGAGCGCGGCGAGGTCCGCGTGCCCAACGTCCGGAGCGGGCGCGGGCTGCGGACTCGTCGCCGCCCGCCTCTCCCCCCAGCCCCCCGCGAGCTGGCAGGAGGAAATAGCGCGCGGCCCCTTTAAATTTACCCAGGAGCCCTGAAAGGAGCCCCAGGGGCCCCAGACAGGAATCCCCACCCCGGTCCAGCCCGCGCCGCCGAGCGCGCAGCCCGCCGTCCGTGCGGCCGGCCGCCCGTGCATGCGCCCCGCATCCGAGACCCCGCGCCCCGAGCGCCTCGCGCGCGCCGCCGCCGGCCCCGCCGCCCCGCGCCCCGGGGCCCCGCTTCGCGGCGCAGCGCATGGAGCCCGGCGGGGACCACCGGAGCCGGAGCGGCGGCGGCAGGGGCGGCCCCGGGCCAGCAGGAATCTCGGTGCGGGGCCGACGGCTGCGGCCCGCCGTGCCGAGCGGCGGCGCGGAGCCCGAGGAGGACGACGGCGGTAAGAGCGGGGCCGGCGGGCGGGGGGCCGCGTGGGGGAGGGGAGGCTGCGGCTCCGGGCTCCGGGCCCCTCTCCGCCGCCGAACAAAGCGGGGGACGCGGGCAGGGCGGCCGGGGCGCCACCTGGCGGGCGCGGATCGTGGCTGCAGGGCCGGCGGGGGAGTCCCTCGCCCCGCTCCCGGGGTTGGCCGGGCTGCGGGGCTCGGGCGGGTCGCCTCCCCTGGAAGGGCCCCCGCGGCGCCCTGCTTTGGGGGCCCGGCCGCAGGGCCCCCGCCGGGCCAGCACCGCGGTCTCCACCCCCGCCCCTTTCTCTTTCAGACGCCCAGGTGGTCTTTCTTATCCAGCTGTCTCTTAAAGGCCGCCCACACCCTGTGTGCCCTCGGGGGCTTTTCCCTGGCGTTCGAGTTCGGGACCCCGCGGCTTCGCGTCGCGCGGCCCCTCTAGCCTGGTGGTCTCGGCGGCGCCGCGACCTCTTCCCCCGCGTTCTCCCTCGGAGAGAGTGGCTCGCGCCCCAGGCCTCCATCGCTTCCCCCACCGCGGGCAGGTTTTAAATAAGGGCTGGCTTCGCCCACAAAGGCAGACACCCCTTCCTGCCCGCGCGGCGTTTCTCCCCTTTTCAGAATTTATTTTGGCCCTAATTTGTCATTTGTAGCGGGACCATCTAGCCTTCTTGGGCACTGGAAAGGAGACTGTTTCTTCCTCCCCGCTGCGGCAAGGACCAGGCCTTAGGACCCGCGAAGGTTGCGTCCAGGCTTTGGGAAACTGTCCCGATCTTTGCGCTCCCCTCCCAAAACTCCCCATCCCCTTTTGTTTTTAAAGAATCTCAGCTCCTCCTCTTTTTTTTCGGTTCTTAAAGGGCTAGTCTGCGTTAGAATAGCAAGGCTCCAGCGCTGGAAGGATGGTTAAGAGACCAGATAGCGATCCAGTGCCCTGGCACACAAAGCCACATAGACCCAGAGAGCAGAGTGACCTCCGAATAGCCACATAGCAAGTTTCTGGTGAAGCTAGGACTCAAACTATGTCTTTTTTCCCTATGGATCTAATTTGAAAAATGCAAACTAAAACAAACAAAAAGAACCTCTTCAATGTGACAGGTTCTCTGATCCTGTCTTTTGTTTGCCTGACCCTGGGGTTCTCCACTGGGAGAGTGATCAGAAAGAAGCTAGCCATTTGCTCTGGCCAGAAGAGCATTTTCTAAATAAAAAACGTTCAGAACTGAAGAGAGGGTGTGGGACTGCTCTGGGTGTCCCTTTGACAAAAGGAGCGACCCTGGGTTTGCAGGGCCTCTCCAGTACACGCCCTTGTGATTGCTGGGCAGTGGCTGGCCTCTTGCCAGGACAAAAAAAAAAAAAAAAAAAAAAAAAAAAAATCCCAGAAAGACTTAATGGGCTCCAGAGGGTGGTAGCCCCTCTCTGCCGCAGTGTCTTAAGTGGCCACTCTGGTGGTCCGCCTGCCTGACCCTTCTCAGGGTCACTCACTCTCTAGACTGGGGATTTCAAATCTCAGCAACTGCTCTCCTTGGAAGCATTGACAGCTTTGTCTTGGGGATCCCTGTTTAGGTAACTGACAGTGCACAGTGCTTCCCTGAAATGGGGTTCTCAGGAGGCTCTATTTGAGGTTTTATTGGGAAAGTGAGACCTTTGGGTGGGGCCTTCTGGCAGGATGCCGACAGACGCCCCCTTTGTTCCTCTCGCCCTACTGCCTGCTCTGAGCCGGCTGTAACCGCCCCAGACCACTGCTCTCCTGTCTTTATCCCTGCAGCTTGTCCAGAAAGGGTACCTTACAGAGCTGGCTGCCTCCGTGGCCCTCATTTTATTTTAAAAAAAGTCACAGTTAGTCTGCACAGTGCCCTGAATCCTTTTGTTCTTGATCCTGTTTGTAAAGTGTTTTCACTCCCTGCTTCTCCCACATCCCTTTTATTACTGTTGCCATCCCTTCCCTGCCCTGCACACCCCCTCCCCCACCTCCCTTTCTTAGTCTTCCAAATCAAAGCCCAGGATTTTTTTGCCTGGAAGTCAGAGATTGAAGAGCTGTCTCCCTTTCCCCTTCTTCAGGACAAGATCTTCAGCTGGAAGGGGGTGCCTTGGGGTCCTGGGGGAGTACCCCCCTACCCTCCAGGGCCAGGGGACCAGCATCTTCAGGCAGGAAATACTCAGACCATTGTGAGGCCCGGGCCTCCAGGCCTGGAAAGAGCCGCATCCCTGGCCGAGACCACCGACGCTACTACCACGACCATTGGCGACTGGAGTACTTAATGGACTTCAATCCCGCCCGGCACGGCATGGTGTGCATGGTGTGCGGCAGCTCCCTGGCGACCCTCAAGCTCAGCACCATCAAGCGGCACATCCGCCAGAAGCATCCCTACTCCCTGCATTGGAGTCCCCGGGAGAAAGAAGTCATCAGCAACAGCTGGGATGCCCACCTGGGTTTGGGGGCCTGTGGCGAGGCTGAGGGCCTGGGGGTCCAGGGGCCTGAGGAGGAGGAGGAGGAGGAGGAAGAAGAAGAGGAAGAGGAGGGGGTCAGCCTCCAAGCTTGCCCACCCAAGGGCCCAGGTAATGCAGGGTGTTGAGAGGCAGGGGCCTGGGTGTGATGGGGCCAAAGGAGGCAGCTGCTCTGCCCACTGTCTGAGTTTCTGCAGCAAGTTGCTGGCCCTTCTCTGGGCGGGGTCTGTTTATTGCCCTGTATTGTGGGGGGATGTGGACGGGTGTGTGTGTGTGTCTTCAGTGTCCACGGCATCTTTGACATTCTCTGGTTTTACATGGATGGAAGAGACTAGAGGTTGAGGATCAGAGGGGATGGGCTGGGAACAAGAGGGTACATCCCCGGAAGCCCAGGGAAGGGCCAGAATCTGGGTCTGGGGAGGCTGGGGGGCGGGGCTTCGAGCAGGGGTGCAAGAGGATTAAGGAGGTGGAGTGGAGATGTGAAGGGAGGAAGAGAAGGGCAAAAGTTAGGTATGGGACCTCAGTTGGAGCTGCTGAGTGAGGGGCTGTGGGGGCTCCCCACAGGGTCAGCCTCTCAGTTGCTTCCCTCCAACCCTTTTAGGCAAAGCCTCAGCTGGTGGGGGCAGCCGGCGCCGACGAGGGGGCCCAGTGGCATCCCGGCGCCGGCGTCTCTCTGCCTCCAGGAGGGCCGGGGGCAGCAGGGGGCTGGGGGCCCGGCGTCTGGAGCGGAGGCTGAAGGAGTCCCTGCAGACCTGGTTCCGGGCCGAGTGTCTCATGGACTATGACCCACGGGGGAACCGGCTGGTGTGCATGGCTTGTGGCCGCGCACTGCCCAGCCTGCACCTGGACGACATCCGTGCCCACGTGCTGGAGGTGCACCCCGGCTCCCTGGGGCTCAGCGGCCCCCAGCGCAGTGCCCTGCTGCAGGCCTGGGGTGGCGAGCCTGAGGCGCTGTCCGAGCTCACCCGGCCCCCAGCAGGTGCGAGGCTGTCCCTGGGCTGAGACTCCCTCACATCAGGGCAGTGGCACTGGGTCTAGGGCAAAAACTGGGAGGCAGGGACTCCTGATCAAGGGCTGAAGGCCAACCAACCCCTACCCAGACTTCCCAGCCTTCCAAGGCCACTCGGGCGCGCCCAGTGCACACCCCCACTCTGGCGGGGCCTCTAGCTTGGGGATGGGGTGAGGAACAAGGATGGACCCCCGGCTGCGTGGGTAAAGACGACACAGCCAACAGGCTGAGACCCTCTCCCTCACCCCTTCCCCAACAGACGATGACCTCGTCCCCCAGGACCTGACCAGAAAGAGCCAGGACTCGGCCCCCGCTGCTGGAGCCTCCTCCTCTGGGGATTTCAGCCCCTCAGACGTAAAGGAAGAGGCTGGCGGGGACTCTGAGAGGCCCGGGCCTGCAGAGGAGGAGACCGCGGAGGGCGCGGGCGCGGGCGCGCGGGCTGGGGACCCGGGCCAGCCACCCCGGGGCCGGGAGCGCTGGCGGCTGGAGTACCTGCTGGAGCTGGATGGCGGCCGCCGCGGCCTGGTGTGCATGGTGTGCGGGGGCGCGCTGGCCTCGCTCGAGACTAGTGCCGTCGAGCGGCACGTCCGCCGGCGCCACCCGGGCACCTCGCGCCGCGGCGGGCCTTTCCAGGAGTGGAGCGAGAAGGGCACCCCACTGCTGGCCCTGAGGCTGCCTGGCCCGGAGTCCCCCCGGGGTCCTGCCGAACCCCAAGCAGCAGCGGGCTCCGAGGCGGGGGAAGGGACCGAGGAGGAGGAGCCGGAGGAGGCGTGGTGGGGTGAGCCGGAGGGGGGCTAGGCCCTGGGGAAGGGCACCCCACCCCGGTGCTCCGGGCGGAAATGAGGCGTGGGCCCTGCCATTCCCACCCGGCTTCAGTGCAGCTCTTTGTCCCCCTCAGGCGATGTCTTGCTGTCTCCCGGAGCTCCCTCAGAGCGACCCACCGAGGAGGACGATGATGAAGAGGACGGCCAGGAGCCCGTGGGGCTGGCCTTTCCGCCGCTGCCACCTCCTCCGCCTCCGCCTCCGCCTCCACCCCGCAGCCGAGAGCAGCGGCGGAATTACCAGCCGCGCTGGCGGGGCGAGTACCTTATGGACTACGACGGCAGCCGGCGCGGCCTGGTGTGCATGGTGTGCGGGGGCGCGCTGGCCACGCTCAAGGTGAGCACCATCAAGCGGCACATCCTGCAGGTGCATCCCTTCTCCATGGACTTCACGCCCGAGGAGCGCCAAACCATCCTGGAGGCCTACGAGGAGGCGGCGCTGCGCTGCTACGGCCACGAAGGCTTCGGGCCACCCGCCCCGGCGCCGCGCGATGGCGGTGCTGACCTCAAACCGGGCGCCGTGTGCCGGGCGTAGGCGACTCTGGGGCGGGACCCGGCGGGATGGAGCCGGCCCAGCGGGAGCGGCCGGGCGCTCTCTGCCGCTGCTGCGCCCCCCGCTGGCCGGGCCGGGCGGACCTTAGGGATTGTGGCGTCTAGCTACTTCGGCGTCTGAGCTGGGAGGTTCCCTTTGGGCGGCGCCCTTGTCGTGGAGCCCCGGCCGTTCAGTACAGGGCCTCGCGCTTTCCCACCAGCCCGAGCCCCAGGCGGTCTCCTGAGTGCGAGCACCGAGCGCCTCCAGCCCGGGCCGCGCCCCTGCGTGCTTCTCTGCCGGGTGCGAACGGGGCCCTGTCAGTATTGTGGCCGAAAAGGGGACGCGGCAGTTCCTCGTCCAGCCCTGGCCGGGGCCCAACTCCCGGTGGCCTTGCACACCAGCGAGCGCAGCTCCTACCTCCGGGCGCTGACGCACTGCCCTCGGTCATCTTGGCCTCTCGGAGGCCCAGGTCGCGCATGGGGCCCACGACGGGGTGGTGCCCGAGCTCGGGGGTGAGGCCTGGGCCGGGCCAGCTGCGCCCGCCCCGGCGGCTCCGCCCCTCGGGTTGGGGCCCCGCCCTCCCGTCCTCCCCACCCGGGTAAAGGATTTAGCACTTTTTTCCTTGGCTCTTCTCTTGCCCCAGGGACTCCATTTGCCCCTAAGCTGAATCTGGCGCGCTCGACCCGGCGCCAGGTCCATCCAAGTCGGGGCACAGGCGGTCCCGGCGGTTGGCCTATATTCCCGCCCCTCCCTCTGCCCTTTTGTCCTTGGTGGACGAGTTACCCGGTTTCAGCTCTGGGGGCTGCTCCCGCCAGGGCTCTTGGGGTGAGGAAGGGGCCCGTGACCTCCCAGGCAGGTCCGAGAGGGATATGTTGATTCATTCTCCCGTGGAGAACAGGCGGCCCCGAGATCAGGCCCCGTTTTTTTTTTTTTTTCCGCTCTTTGTATTTTATTTTGAAACTGTATTTAATGCTTTTATATGAAGGGGGAGGGGGCGGGAAGAACTGACCCGATCACCCTTAACGTGCAAATATCTTATTTATTACGCGTATATCAGAGATAAGCTGTAAGGGGGTGGAGGAGGGACCTAGGCGGTGCAGGCCCGAGGCGGAGCAGGAATGGGAGGGCACTGAATGTCCCCTGCGCCTGCCGCCCCTGTCTCTGGGCCCCAGTGTAGGGAAGTCTTGTGGGGGCAGTGCCCTGTCTTAAAGTCAGGGTGTTGGGGCCAGGGGCAGAGGCCTCCTGGCTGCAGGGTGCGTGAGACAATGGAAGGCAAGGAAGCAGCCGCAGTCACTCCGCCCCAGGCCAGAGCCCAAGGTTCAAGTGCCTCAGGCCCAGTCCCCTCGACTTCCAGATTGGGAATTGCATTTTGTACCACAGGTTTTATAGCGTTTTTATATAACTCAAGGTCGTAGAATTGAATGGGAACCCTGGAGATCCACTAGCACCCCCACCCCCCCATTTCAGGGACAGGGAGCATCCCAAAACTAAAATTACCACACAGGCAGGTAGCAACAGTACAAGAGCTAGAATAGAAATCTTAACTCCCATGTTCTTTGCACTATGCCACACTGCCCCCCATCTCTGGTGTTAGAATGTCTTCAGTCAGGTCTGCTAAGAGGCTGGCATGTGCCCAGTGCCACAGGCCACCACAGCAAGGTTTTGACTCCCAGGCCCCGTGGGGCAAGCTCCTGACTCTCCTGGCCATGGGCCTTGGCAGAGCTGGCCCAGCAGCCCCTGGCCAGTGTCTGTCCCACAGGACAAACCTCTGGCCTTGTGTACTTTGCTAGGTACCCACCAGGAACCCAGGAACTGGCTGCAAGGTGAACTCCCAGTGAGTCTGCAGTACCTGGGTTTTCATGACAGTATTAGAAATTTAGACACTAAGGATGGCACCAGGCAGGGCACTGCCATTCTGTTCTTTTACTTTCCTTCACGCATGTTGCTTCTTGCAAACCTAGAATGAGTATTTTTATACCGTGTTGTTAAACAGTACAAAGCCCATTGCTGAAGGGAACAGGTTGAGTGGGTCTCTGGCCCTTACCCAGCAGGCCTCTATGGTAGCTTTCAAAGCGTGGCCTCCAGCGGGGGAACCTATTAGGGACTTGGTAGAGGTCTGAATTCTTGGGCTTAACCAAAACTCTAGCAAGGCATTCTAAGAGGCCACCAAAGGTGCTTTGGTGGCTGGTGCAGTGCAGTTGACTGTGGCCTCAGTTAGGGGCCCAGGGTCAGTCAGTCCTTCTCTCTAGGTGAGCCTCCTCATCTGGGTTTTGATAGGAACAGGTGAAGTTTCATCATGTTTTGTTTTGTTAATGATATGCTTGCTATTATGGCCAATATGTAAATGTTACTCTGAATACATATTTATATACTATGTTACTTAGTGACATTATTTGAACATTTGTGTGTTTGTGAAGTTGTTTGCATCAGTCATTTAAAAATTTTTTCAACTTAAATTTTCTAAGATGTTGAATAAATTTTTAATATCCAGCTTGGGTCACAGCAGCCTTAGTTTTGGGGAAGAGCAGTATGGAGTTTTTAAAGTGAAAATCTGCTGTGTGGTGACTGAGTTTTAGTGCTTTGTGGCTGCCTCAGGTTCATAGGGTGCTTCATGTTGCAAGCCAGGAACCCTCCCAAGCTGGCCCCTCGCCCTTCCATCCTTAGCTTTTTTCTGAGCTCACCTCTTAGAGGTCCTCTGTTTTCTTTCGGAAGCCAAACTGCACAGCTATGCTGTATACTATGGAAATCCTGCAATCCTGGGAATCCATATAAATTGCTCTTTAAAGCCCCCAAGGTGAAGTGAGAATGGGGGGGAGTGGAAGCCTTGTTCAAGTCTTACTTTACCCAAACTGTGTATAAAGAATAAAGTTAGGAGAATGACACCACAGTCATTGTGTTCTTTATTTTTAAATTAACCACATCAATTTGCAGTTTTACAGGAACCAAGATTCAAGCTTCTTGGGTGCTACTGTATTTTTATGTTGCACGCACAGACTCGCACACACGATTTCATTAGTAATTTGTCTATAGGTTTTTCTTAGAAAAAAAAAACTCCTGCGTGGAGTAAAGATCTTTCCACTTAACACAGCAGCAACAAAAGAAAAAAGCAGGGTGTGGCAGCCCAGCACTGAAGGTCCCGTGCGCAGACTGCTGGGAGGGCAAAGGATGGTGATGGAGAGGGACTTTCCTACTAGCACAGAAAGCAGCCAAGAATCCCAAGGACATGGAGCTGAGAGAATGGAGTAAGGCAAGAGTAGCTTTTACTCACTTAAGTTCCTAAGAGTTTCCAGAGAATGTGGAAAGAAAATTCTTCCCACCACTTTCTTTTTTTTTTTTTTGTCTTTTTCGTTTTTTATCGGTACCAGGGATTGAACTCACGACTGCCTGCTTGCAAGGCAGGCGCTTTATGCCACTGAGCTAAATCCCCAGCCCCTTCCCACCACTTTCTACAGAGCTGCAGTACTTCAGGGCCATCGAGCGCTGTAGCCTTTGCTTAGCACGTCCCGGCGCCCAGTCCCTGCTGCCTGAGCAGGGCTACGAGGCCCCATGGGAGAATGCCCGCCCGTGGGTTCCACTGCTTTGCAGCTGCCTGGATTCCTTGTGGAAGGGCTCGAAGAAACTTAGTCCCAGTCCCATTCCATTCCACATGGCATCCACATGAGTTGCTCTGTTGTCCACTAATGCAAAGTCCACCAGTACAATCAGGCCCTGCTCAGTCACCCCCACCTAAAACTGCTTGGACAGTACTCTCCAGAGGAACACCCTGGGCCACTTTATGGAAGTGGGAAGAACTCTCCTGATGACATGTACTCCTAAGGTAGCCTCAGAGCAGCTAAGGGCCACAGGAACCACAAACACGCAAGCCAGCCCGGCTTTGGTCCTCAGGCTACACTGATGGGAAACAGAGGCTGAAGACGCAGCACGTACGAAAGCAGGGGGAAAAGACAAAAAAAGCTATAAGTTCACCTCGAGAATGTTCCCCCAGACTAAGATAATAGTACAATAACTGGGGTGCACACATGCAGATTATTTTTTCTCTAACAAGTTTACAGCAGTGTACAGCAGTTACAGACATTTATTTCATAATAAAAGGACAACTCGAGGTGGGCAGGGAAGAGAGGGGAAGCACATTTGAGAATGTTCTCCTGTGAGTGCTTGGAACTGGACCTGACAGAGAAGGGTGACAGGGACGCCTGCCTCGCAGCCAGCGGAGCCCTTCCGTCACTGGAGGTGGGCAGCCAAGCCTGGCCTGGCCCTGCCCACGCCCTCCCTGCACCTGTCCCAGTTTCTCTTTCCACTCTTCCTTCTCAGATGGCATTCTGGGGCCCAGGAGTTACTACTGTCACCTATCCGTTACTCAAGAGTTGGAAGTTATCCTTAGAAGAAGAGTATTAGGAGTAGCTGCTCAGTGTGAGGCAGGAAGATGGGATCAGAGGGCCCCAAAAATCCAAGGGAAGGAATCCCACTCCTGTCCTCCAACAGTTTCTTCATAAGTTAATTATTTTTAAAAAATAAAGGTGAAACTACAATGGGTGCTGCCTACAACTAGTCCTGTAGACTGGACAGAAGGACCCAGAAATCTGTTGTGTCATTCACCTTTGATTTCTCGCCTTTCATGCTACGTAAAAGCTCCATCACCATTAGGGTATGATTTAGTGCACTAATTTGATTTTACTTTATTCTTTTGGGCTCTAAGGTATCAGGTCTTTTTTCAATCCAACATTTCTTGTGCTTGATATTGAGGGTAAGGAGAAAGGCGGGAAGAAAACACCAAATTAAAAAAAAGCTTGGAATGCAGGCTCAAGCTGACACTGAGCTGTTCCTTCATAGTACAAGTAACTTATAACTATTTAAGTGGTGTTTTAGTAACGGTTGTAGTTCTGTTTTCCATTTGCTTATTCGGCCTTTTTTTTGGCAATTCCAGGGAGTTTTGCTTGGATCCTATGAGAAAAAAAAGAAAGGGAAATGTAAACATTTGCTCTAGGTTCTTTTCACAGTGATGCTAGAAGAAAGTATGGATTTACTGGAGCAAAGTGCAAAACACAGCAATGGGTGAAGAGCGGTCGGGGCTCCGGGCTTTCTGGTGTCTGCCTGGCATGAACCTGAGAGGTGCAGATTTCTCTCGCTCCCCTGGCTGACGTACCTGGTTCCTTGCTCTCTGTCAGAAGCCCTGAGGTCCTTCAGAGGGGGCTCCAGAGAAGGAGGAAGGAAGGGGCTAGGCCCAGTGCCTGCTCACTGTGCGCCGCACACCAGCAGTGTGAGCGCCTGTTTCTCCGGCTCTGTGAGCACGGAAGAGGGGATACAGGTCACTACCTACTAATGCCAAGAGCGGACCAGCAGCCAGGGTGAAGGAGGCAGGGGAGCCAGGAGTTCTGATTCTCATGACTAAGGATCTGGTAACAGTCTGCAGATTCTGTCCCGGAACAGCAAGGCTGTTGGCAAAGAGGACATTCAAACCCCACAAATGTCACATCCCATAGCAGGCCTCCTAAGTCTGACAACACTGGTGATGAAGGCATCAGGCCTAAAACTGACCTATGACCACCTTTCCCAAGTATGGATGGATACATAGCAGCCAGCTGTGCGTCTGTGCTAACCTCCGACTGGTTCTAGCACCAACGTATCTTAAAAAGCAAACAATCAGGAGAAGATTGTGCACCAAGCTATAGCTGCCTGGACACACTCAGTTACTTCTTTTTTTCCCTTTTTCAGGGCTGCGCTGAGGACGGATGCCCAGGCCTCACACACAGCGCTCTACCACTGAACTATTCCCAGACTATTCAGTTTCTTCTTGAAAAACCTGGAAAAAGCACTAAAATCTGTGTTGCGAAAGGTACTTAAGCAGCACAAAAGGGGGCTTAACAGTTTGTGGTACTTTTTTCTTAAAAATAAATGAGGAAAACATGGGAAAATGTTAATTTTTTAATTCAAAGTGTTGAATAAGTTAAACTAAAGACTCTTTGATACGCTGAATCACAAAGTTGCTTATAAATATTTTATCACTTGGTTTAAGTATTTGTTGGTTACAAAATGAAAACAGGCTATCTAGTCTTAGAAAAATTAGCTTTAAGCCTGTTACTTATTTACTGGGAGAGGGAAGAGTTAGACTTTACATGGGTGTACTTGAGTAAATGTATTTCTTACTTTTTTTTGTCTTTTTCCTTTTTATCGGTACCAGGGATCGAACTCACGACTGCCTGGTTGCAAGGCAGGCGCTTATGGCGCTGAGCTAAATCCCCAGCCCCTACTTGAGTAAATGAGAGGGGGGATAACTAAGAACATTTCAAAGTCAGAACTATTCTGATTTCACTGGTCCATTTTAATCTAAGGTACAGAGGATGCTTTTAACAAGCGGCTAAAATAATTTTTAGTAAACTAATATATTAATCTAGTCTTTTTGTGATGAAAGTTACTATCTTTGGCAATAGTATTTCATATAGGGTACTAAAATTAATTAGAAGATCCGGGCTGGTGGCCTAGGCCTATGATCCCAGTAAGTTTGAGCCCAACCTAGGCAACTACACTATGAGACCCTGTCTCAAAATAAAAAAAGGACTGAGGACACAGCTCCAGGGAGGGCCTGGGTTCAGTCCCCTGCAGCACACACCATCTGCCCAACCCAGGAAAGCATCACAGTGCAATGTTGTCCCTAAGCATACTCACTTTTCAACAATCGACTTGGTCTGATCCCGGGCAATGCCAATGTAGTGATCAATCTGGGTCTTTGAAGGAAGAAAAGAAGACAGGTGTGGCAACACATAGATTAACAATTTTCCTGAAAGCATCTTCTTTTTAGCTTTAGTTTTACTTGGGAGCCATATCACATTTGTGAGTACAGAAGATACGCAAATCCTAGTACCAGGAATTCACATTCCCAGTGTGTCTAAAGGTAATAACCCTTGCCTCTGTGAAAAACAGGTGATTTTCATATCACCAAATTATGGTGTCATTTGACACCTAAAACCAGAAAGTTTAAAATATTTTGAAAAACTAGGCAGTATTTTCAGTTTTGGAAATATTTTTCAGTGGCTATGCATCTCTGCACATCCCTTCACAGCGCAAACCCTTCATACTAATCCCTGTGCCAGCCAATGGCTTGTATTTCTTTTTAGACACTCAGCTTTTATTCATTTTTAAAATTCGTTTTCTTTTGTACTAATGCAGTTATGATAAAAAATCAAAAGGCACATAAATACAGAAATTCTCTTTCCTACCCATATATCTTCTAGGTATATAGCTTCTTCTGCTAGAGGAAACCACTGTGACCAGGTTTTTTTTTTATGCACTTAAAATGAACTGAAACTAGCCATGCATCAAAACCAGCAAATGTGATATGGGACAGATGCCTACCTTGTACTTTTCGTAGACAATTGGGACACTGAAAACTAGCAGCTCACCTGTAAGAATGATGGGACAAGACAATCATGAAGGTGAGTCAGTCACTGAGTAGACTCAAAGTAACACACACGTGCTTCCTTAGGAACTGTATGGAAGCAGATCTTCCTCAAAATAAAGCCTGGCTAGAGCTCCCAGCTAAGGACAGTTAGAAAAGAAAGCTGATCTACAACACTGTTGTGAAAACCACACAAACAAACCTCTCCAAGGACTAGGCTGCATTTTTTGTACCACAGATAACAATTTTCAATTTACAGGGCTCTATAAGTAATATCCTTGTATTTAAACAATCTTGGCAACTCTCCTTTACTACCATCTTTTTTTTTTCTTTTTGAGACATGGTCTCACTATGCAGACCATTCTGGCCTTGAGCTCACTTTGTAGCTCAGGCTGGTCTCGAACTTGCAACGATCCTCCTGCCTCAGCCTCCTGAGTGCTGGAGCTACAAGTATGTGCCACCACGCTCGGCTACTACCATCTGTTTTGAAATTTCTTTATAAGTGAGACCATTTAATACAACTGTGATCACAAACACAAGTTCTTTGGATCCCTATGGCTATTAAAAGCCTGGCCATCAGGAATGAGTAGAGCCATACTGGTCATCCTCTTTACAGTCTTACAAATTATTTCAAGGGGCATAGCGATATCTTCTGCGCCACCTTACCGAGAATCAGAAGGGTGATTCCATTAAACACGGCACCGACATAGGTCATCAGCCACATGAACACAGCCAGCTGCGGAGGCCAAGATCAGAGGGTTAAGCAGGAACAGCCACAGTGAAAAGTCAGGCTGACACAATCTCTCCTCTAGCTGTACAACACAGATCACTTCACAATGAGGCTTCCTCTACCTGCACCGTCCATGTGACGGTGTGTGAGAGAATTCTTAGGTCCCCAGTGACCTGCACTGCTGGGGACTCTGTCATCACCATCGTGATGTTTGCTCTAAATAGCAGGAAATGGCAGCTTTCTCTAGTGACTGCTATGCTTCCAGGTTTGCAGGTAGATGGAGATAAATGCGCGTCCCCTTCTGTCTGATAAACCCGTATGCACTACTTTTCCTCTGAACTAACCCTTGGCTTTTCTAAGCCTCACCATCAAAAGTGGCAACAACGACTAACCTTCAAGGAGTCCACCAGATCCTCCACCAGGAAGAGACGGATAATGAGCTTCAAGGCCCTGTTGACGTGCACCATGGCAGCATTCACGTAGTTGTGGAACGCTTCCGAGGACAGGGTGATGTCCAAGTCCAAGTAGGCTCTTCAGGAAAGAAATGACAGGCACTGTCAGTACAGCAGCTCTTCAATGTGAAAAAAAGCCTTGGGGTACATTGCAGAAAACAGATTGGGCACTTTTACTGCATGGAGTGGGAACAACAGTGATGTTTAGCGAGCAGAGGCAAAAATGCCACCCCGCACGTGGGACACACCTTTAACCAGCGTTCAAAAGCCCCAGGTGGGGAGGTCACAAGTCTGAGCCAAGCCTGAGCAGCTTAACAAGTCCACAAGACCCTGTCTCAAAAAAATTTAAAGGGGGGTTGGGGATTTAGCTCAGCGGCATAAGCGCCGCCTTGCAAGCAGGCAGTCATGAGTTTGATACCTGGTACTGATAACAAAATAAATAAGTAAATAAATAAATAAAGGCCTGGGGATGGGGCTCAGAAGGGGCTAGGTTTGATCCCCAATACCTTAAAAACAAAAGTCTGCAAAGTACGGGACAGTCATGCACCATAAAGCACTGTCCTGTATTAGGCCTCACTGGGTAAAACTGTATTTTGTTTATGCTAAAACATCACTAAATTATTTATTTATCATCCTGGAAAATCACATCTGTATTGCTGATGATACAGGTAGGTCCAAGGATCTGACTCCCTTAGGTTTTTCTGGTGTAGTCCTTTCAAAGCAGTTCAACACTGACTGAAACACCTATTACTTTGTTATGTGTGACTTTCTGTGTTATCACATCTCTCTCTCTTTTTTTTTTTTTTCGGTCTTTTTCCTTTTTCCTTTTAACTAATTCTCAATAAAATTTTAATGCTCTAAGAGAGTTTAAGCAGTATTGGGGATAGAATTCACGACTGCCTGCTTGCAAGGCAGGCACTTATGCCGCTGAGCTAAATCCCCAGCCCCTACCACATCTCTATTATAGCTGATACACACACACACACACACACACACACACACACACACACACACACATATTTTTTTTCTTTTTTTAGTCTTTTTGAGGCCCCTGCCTCACTATGCAGTTCAGGCTGGCCTTGAGCTCACTTTGTAGCCTAGGATGGTGTCAAACTCACAATGATCCTTCCTCCAGCCTCAGCCCCACAGTGCTGGTATTATAGGAGTGTGCTACCATGCCTGGCTTGACCTATGTAGTTTGAAATTATGTTTGTAGGTTATATCATCTATACTTTGCATTTCGGAGTGATAAAGGAGGGTTTGAAAATATTTGTCAAACAAACAGAAGGACAAAGATAATGAATCTGATAGGGGTAGAAACCTCAGAAGACAGGAGAGTTAGGGTCTGTTCCCAGAGGTACTACAGATTTGGAATGGAACCACCACTTTTAACTGGCTCACTCAGGACTTAATGAGTGCCCACTGGACACCAAATTCCCTGTGAGAAGAGGAGCTGGGCTATTTGGGAAGGTGAGGCTGTTTTCACATTACAGGGCCCACAGTCTTAATGGGAAAGCAATAGGCATGTTTTTTCTTTGTAATTAATAAGAAAATATTTACTACTAAATACAAAAGTTTTAACAACTAGGTATTATAATTAATACAATTTGACAAAACGTATTTTAGAAACCCACAAGTGTCATGCAAAAAGAAGGGAATCTCATTAAGACATCTGAGCTTGTGGTAAAACAGTAAAATTTACTTCACTCATTCATTCAACAACTACTGATTTATTAAAACTAATTCTCAATAAAATTTTAATACTCTAAGAGAGTTTAAGCAGTAGCAGTGCAGTCAGAGCTTTTTCTGATATAGTCCTGACAGATGACAGCAAGGTCTCTTTCTTTATGAGAAGTCTGAAAAACTGTCATTTGCTAACATTCGGGGAAAACACTTATGAGCTAAGAATTTCAAGAGGGAAAGTGTGAAGTAAGTATCTGTTGAAGTTACAACACAATCAGAAAAGCTAGGAATCATAGCCTGGAAATGCGTGACCACTGCCGTCATTAAGACCTGCCTCTAGGACTACGGAGGCCAGACGAGAGATAAGGACGAAACCTGTAAAAAACTGGGAGTAAAGACACTGAGTTGTGATGTGAAGAGCACAGCCCCAGTATCAAGAGTTCAAACATCTGGAGACTTAACTCTGTGGGGCTCAAACGTGCGTATGGATGGCGGAGTGCTGTGCTCTCTGGAGCTGAAGTGTGATCATCTAGTTTTGTCAGAAAGGCCTTGATTCCTAACTGGGCCATCTATTAGGGTGACTGAAACACCTCTAAGGGGTGATGCATGTTCCCAGTAGGCAGCATGACACTCAACATATTTTTTTAATGAAAAATATTTGGGGGCGATGCTTTGAGATATAGTTGTGGCTATGTATTCCAAGCTGAGTTCAAATTCAAGGTGATCCTCCTGCCTCAGCCTCCTCAGTACTGGAACTACAGGAACATACCATCACACCTAGCTGAGATGGGGAAAGCGAGCCTGTTGTTTGAGGTAGGTCAGGCTAGCCTTCAATTCATTAGTAGCCCAGGATGGCCTCAAATTCAAGACAATATTCCTGCCTCAGTCTCCCAAGTGCTAGGGTTACAAGCATACACCACCACACCCGGCCAAGGCCCTGTAACTTTTTAGTTGGGTCCCTTTTTCAAACCTGATCAGCGTCATCAAACCCTCCACTAAAATGTGTGACATTACTTGCAATACTTCAACTCACTTGAATGGGTGGCCTTCTTCTGACTTCTGCACAGCTTGGATGACAGACTTGTAGACTCTAAAGCTGATGGTGACAGACAGCAGAGCCAGGATGAGGTAAGAAACCACACTGATGACACTGAAAGCTGCCAGGGACAGCAGCACGATCAGCGTGGTGCCAAAAACAAACCCAGTCTTCTTCACATCTCGCCAGAAAATCAGATCGTGCACTGTGAAATAAAGAGAGCGCAGAGAGTTACAGAGAGAAGCCAGTGGGACTCTGGCTGTGTCTGCATCCTGCCAGCACAGAGGCATAGGTGTACATCCCATTCCAAGAGAACTTGAGTTTTATCTCAGCTACTGAAGTCCACCGGGGAAGTACCAGTGACCTTAAACATTCTCACAGGAATGGTGACAGAGCAGGGATGGCATAGTCTCGCTAACTAATGACTAAGTTAAACAAATGAGCTGGGTGCTGGGATGGTCACCTGAGCCGAGGAGTTCAAGACCAGCCGGGGCTACACAGTGAAACTCAGTCTCAAAAAATTAACAAAGCCCGTAAATTAGTTAGGTCCATATACTTTTATAAAGCTAAAGTTAACCAGAAATGTATAAACTGGGGTACAGCAAAGAGAGTGGTGACAAACACAGACCAATCTCTATTAGTTCTCAGTACAAAACAACATTAGTCAAACTACTTTTTTTTTTTTTTTTTAGCTTTGAGAGACCAGGTTGTACCACATAGCCCGGGCTAACTCTGTACTCCTGGACTGCAGCAATCCTCCAGCCCTGCCTCTTGAGTAGCTAGCACTGCAGGTGCACACCACCTCTTGGTCAACCCATAACACTCTTTAAAGTGATGTCGGCACAACTAATAATTCTGTCTAAAAATAGGTGTAAATGAAGGTCATCCCAGGCAACTGGAGCTTACAGTTGGGGTTTACCCAAGACACCTTAAAAGCTGGACAGCTGCAGCTGGACATTACCTCCAACGTTACCATCTGCATTTCAACCTGTGAAGACTGACATTAATCCCAGAGAACCTGCTTACAAAAAAAAAAAAAAAAAAAAAAAAAAAAAAGGCTTCTTGCTTTCAATTATCTCTCCTTTATTATTTATTTACATTTTGGGTTTCTCACACAAGGGCAATATTTAACTTTCTGTAGTCTGTCTTCCTTAGAAGGGAATCAGGATAAAGAGATCAAAAATGACCAAAATATGATATATACATGGAACCCCCCCACCCAATGATAGCTGCTGTATTACAGACACAAGGAAAAGGAGAGCACGGCTTCTGGAGTTGGAAAGATGAAAGTTTGAGTCTTCGTATTGCTTTAACTTTTTAAGCCTGCACATTCTTGATGGCATAATAAAAATGGCATCTATTTCCTTGAGTTGTTTTCAAGGAGAATTCTGAGAGAACACAGGTGACCGATGTGCAACGAATGCTCAGGTTTTAACTCCACTCTGGCTGTACCCTGAAGACTCTGACCTGGGACAGAGAGCCTGTGCCTGACTCCAGTCACCCCAGTAACGCCCCATGTTCAGCTCTAACACTTATTTCCGGGACCACTTTGGGAAGCCTAATCTTGCCAAAACATGAAGGTGCTTAACTCAAAACCAAGAAAACACTAAACATTTGCTGACTTTATGACAAAAATAATCACTAGTTCAGAGAGTCTGGCTACAGAATATGACAGCAGGAGAAAGAGGAAACACGATTCCTGGCAGCAAGCAGAGTCCCGGGTAGCTGGGCTGCTGGGGAGGGAGAAAAACGGGGCAACTCAGGTGTGCACCACTGAGGCCAGACTGAATGCCAGCGATCATCGGAAGGGCGCCACTTCCCAGGGAGCACAGTGCGGAGGCACTCCTTAGGTCGGCCACAAGAACAGTTCCACTGCGGGCTGCTGACAGCCACAGCGAACCTTTTAGAGACGGGTGCCCAAACGGCAACCCCAAACCCACATATTTATGGCAAAGTGCTAATGCTGCAATTCAGCCTGAACACTGAGTTTGAGCTTACAAAAAACAACTCATATATCTATATTTTTTGTCTTAAAAAGAAAAACAAAGTGTGTCCTGTAAGTTCGCCAACACTGGCGTAGAGACTCAATGTCACCGGTAGTGGAATAAATGATCCCTTGTGGTTCTGAAGGCACTGAGAAGGACAGGACATCACTTCAACGGTATCCTGCCCCAAGACACCACCAGAGTCTACGGAGAAAACATCAGACAAACCCAGCAGGAGAAACAGTCTATAAAATAACTGAAATTCTTCAGGTCCATCATGGAGTAAAAGACAAAGGCTAAAGAACCTTCTCAGATTAAAGGGAAGTCAGTGCTAGGTTATCGCCTAAATGCAAAATATGGACCTGGACTGGACCCTAGAAAAGGGGATAAAAAATAGCCAGAGGCATCACGGAGACAACCAAAAACCCTGAGTGTCGATGAATTAAGACTACTACAGGATTTTTCTTTTTCAGTAATGGAGACTGAACTCAGGGGCATCCTGTCACTGAGCCTCTAACTGACACTTGGCCTGCCTCAGCCTCCTGAGTAGCTAGTGTTATACACGTGCTCCTCGATGCCCAGGCTCATACTAATGTTACAGTTCCCAGGTTTAGTGTACTGTGCTAAAACAACAAAGCTCTTGTTCCAAGGAAACACATTTTGAAGTATTTCCAGGTGTACAGAAGACAGACATGTGTCTACGCCTGCAGGCAGTAACAAAGCACATGTGGTGAACCTGTGCAGGCAAGGACTACGGGAGTCTTCTGTGCCATACTTGTGAAAGATCTGTAAAAAGACAAAGAATGAGGATGAATCTCTTGATTTATCAGAGAAGTGAGGATAAAGAGCTTCCAAGCCAATGAGAAATTGTTACCTCACGTAGGCAGCAGAGACCATCAGCCTCATGAGCTTTGCTGCCATCTGCTGACCAACTCTCGTCATACCTACCCTGCCGACAGAAGCCGGCGAGTGCCCCACATCTGCGGGTGTGCAGATATGCAAAGCCCTGGCTCAGCCTGCCACGGAGGAGTCACGGCCCAGCCACCGGGCATCCTGACCGAAGGTGTGTAACAGAAGCAGAGTGTGGAAAGATGGCCCCTAGCAGGCCACCTCGTTCCACTCCTGGCTCACGGCACCTCCTCAGGCTCCTCCCTACATCCTGTACCCTCACTGTCCTAGTTCTATATGCAGTTTTTTGTCTTTTAACCTCACAGCATGTATAGCTTTACTGGCAGAAGGCTCCTGTGCTTTGACAGGGGCCCCGCGAATGACCACAGCACTGCAACTTCCGTGTGTTTCCTGCCAACGCCTGTGGGGCACAAGTCTACCAGGCACTGAGGCCAAGGGGCCTGAGTACAGAACTCTGCCTAGCGCGGTTACAGGGAAAGAAGTAGGATGAAAAGTGCTAGGTGTTTTTTTTTGGGAACCGGGGATTGAACTCACGACTGAGCGCTTGTAAGGCAGGTACTTATGCCACTGAACTAAATCCCCTTCATCCCTCCCTTGTAATCTCAGTTTCAATCTTAGGAATCTAGAAAGAAGAAAAACAGGAGAATGGGAGAGATGGATCCATTTGGCATGCTTAGCATGTACAAGGCCTTCGTTTCAACACCACCACAAAATAAATTCCACAAATTCAAACTGGATATGGTAGCAAGGGTCTGGTTAAATTGCAGAGTTGTCCAGGCTGGGCTCAATCTTCTGCTTTTCCTGCCTCAGCCTTTCAGAGTGCTGGGATTACAGTTGTGCAGTGCCATGCCTGGCTACTACCAATGGCAGATGAAATTTCTGACAATGTATTTACCATGAATGCTTATATTGCTGGTGGTGATTTTTTATTTTCAAATTTCTTGCAATATAGTTCTATTACTATTTTTTTGGCTTTTTTTGAGACAGGTTCTCACCATGCAGTTCAGGCTGGGCTTGAGCTCACTTTGTAGTCCAGGCTGGTCTCGAACTCACAACAATCCTCTTGCCTCAGTCTCCCAAGCACTGGGATTGCAGGCATATGCCACCATGCCCGGCCTTATATTAGTATTATAAAAATTTAAAAGGCTATTGGGGGCTGGGGGTTTAGCTCAGCGGCATAAGCGCCTGCCTTGCAAGCAGGCAGTCTTGAGTTCAATCCCTGGTACCGATAAAAAAAAAAAAAAAAAAAAAAAAGGAAAGAAAAAAAAATTTAAAAGGCTGTCCACTTGCTTTTTTTTTTTTTTTTTTTTTGTACTAGGAATCGAACTCTCAACCACATGCTTGCAAGGCAAGGTGGCTTATGCCACTGAGCTAAATTACAGGCCTCACTGCTCCTAATTTTCAAGGATGCCAGATGCAGTACCCACAATGTTCCAAAAGAGGGCACAAATGCTCCTCCTCCTCAGGCTGAGGAAGAAAGTCTGAGCCTACGCAGTGAGGGACTGCAGTAAACTGCAGATTTTATATTTGCAGAAAGAGTTTGGTTTGATTCTAAATTCAGCCATTTCGAAAGGTCGACTAAATTTAATTTATTTCCTCAAAATACACCTAATGTAGAAAATAAAGGCGATCCAAATGCTTACTGGGAAAGAAATATGAGGACATTTCAAGGTTCATAAGTCAACCACTTAAATTTCATTTTTAAAGATCAAACAATTCAAGATCAGTAAAATATGATTTTCTTTGTAAAGATATTCCAAATTTATCAGTATAAAACACACACAAGAAAATGCGACATGCTTAGCTAAAAACCAGGCCATAACCCCAAGAGGGAAAACTGTGTGGAGTGCAGGGCTCTGAGTCCATTCTCCAGCACTGCCAAAAAATTAAAAAGGAAATAAAGCAGGGATGGCTCACACCTGTAATCCCAGCAATCTGGAAGGCTGAGGCAGGAGGATTATAAATTTAAGCCCCCCTTGGCCATGTACCGACTCAGCGAGACCCAATTTTACAAGGGTGGGATGTTATGGCTTGAATTGGACCTGAAGCCCCAGCCCTCAGGCTGCCCGCCAGCAGAAGCTGCTCTACTCTCTGCAGGGAACTCAGCTCAGGAAAAAAGGTAAGATAGGACAAGGAATTCTGCAGGTTCCAGGACATCTGGAGACACCTGAAAATTTATACCGGACACTTCAGGAAAAGACTCTGCCCCCTGAGATGCAAGACAGCCAGAGAACTCTGACCACAGATCTTACTTACTGGGATCTTCTACCCTAATTCCTCTGCCTTCTTCTCCCCATCCCTATGAACGGGA